TTTAACATGAATTTAGATGGGCCTTTAAAATTCTGTTATGGGCCTTTAAAATTCTTGTAAAATTTTTGGTTTTATTTTTTAATGTTGCTATGCAAATAAGTTATGTTGACTGACATAAATAAGAAACCAAATATTTATAATAAAGATATACTCGTATATTGCCGTTTTTTAGTTCAAAACTTCAAATGTTTCACCACTATTTATTAGAAAAGGTCATATTTGTATTTAACATGAATTTAGAATACAAATTTTTCACAAAATAGTATAAAAATTTAATAATTCTTGATAAATAAAAAAGCTATAGAAGCTAAAAAAATTAAATTTTCGAAAAGTGCTGGTTTTTAACACAGGTATTTTTTTTAACTAGGAAAGAAAAAAATGCTTATGACACAGGAAAGAAATTTTTCTCATGTAGCAATCGAAATTCTTAAAATTTTCGTCTACAGCGCATAAAAAGTAAGAAATTTGGCTACTTGGCCTCTAAAATTCTCAAAATTTCGTCTGTGGCGGTAATAAGAAAAAATATAACCTAAATAACCATAAAAGTCTAGCCTGCAGCGCTAAAAATTAAAGAAATCTGTTATGGGCCTTTAAAATTCTCAATAACAAAAAACATGGAGAGAAAATGGAATATTCTCACATTGAAATTTGTTTAAAATTTGAAAATCCAAGCAATTATTTTATGAGCTTAGTTGATAATTTGGTTTCAATTCTAAGTTAAAATTAAAAAAAACAAATGGGGAAAGATGCGTATTCAAAATATTCAAGAAAATCTCTGATCTAGTTAAAAAATTTTGATAAGATTGAGACATTACATATCAATAAAAATATCAAAAACAAAGGTAGATGATATTGAAGATGGTCAAATGAATGTATATACAGAAGTCTTGTTTAAAAAACATCCCAATGCGGAATTTGTAGCCTCTCCATTGTTTGATGTCGGAAGTTATGAATTTTATTTGGGTGAGGATGGAATAACAAGAGATAATAGAAACTCACCATAAATTCGTTTATTAAATGAATAAAAAGGTATTTTATTTTCAATTCCCAATGCGGAATTTGTAGCCTCTCCATTGTTTGATGTCGGAAGTTATGAATTTTATTTGGGTGAGGATGGAATAACAAGAGATAATAGAAACTCACCATAAATTCGTTTATTAAATGAATAAAAAGGTATTTTATTTTCAAGGTTAATAATTTTTAATTATTTTTTAGTCGTAACAAGTTACAATTCTTTTATTATTCGCATATGTATATAGTTTTTAATGAATAAATATTTATTATAAAAATATTTTAAGTTAAAATAAAATTAACTTTAAAATTTATTTCTTTGATAAAACCTAATTTTTGCTCTTTCCAACTTCTTTCCAACCGGAAGGAGTACTTAATTATTTTTATATTAATTGCTATTCATCTACCAAAAAATATAAAAAATTAAAGAATTATTTTCTTATAGAAAAAGTAGTATAAAAAAATTAATAAAAAATCTTTTTGTTTGCAAACAGGTAATAATTGGTGTAGAGTATTGTTTGCTTGGAATTTTTTATCATGACAATTTATAAATTATTTATATTTTATTTTTTTGTAGCATTAAATTCAGATGGACTATAATAAAAAATTTTATCTACATTCTACACTTGAGAAAATATTTTTTAAGTACTGTATCCGCCATTTCCCGTTGATATTCGAGATTTTGGATCTCGATGAAAAAAGCCCTTTTTCTACTTATTATCAAAGGAAAAGTTTACGCAAATTTTTGAAGAATTTTTCGAGCATTCCTAATATGATTTCTGAAGGTGAGGTTATAGTTAAGTAGAGGGTGTTTTTTGAAAAAATTGGATAAAAAATTTTTGAACAAAAATTTTTTTCTATTTCTAGGGTTTATATTAATTGATACCTGATTTGATTAATATAAAATAAAAATCAGCCCGATTGATTCAGTAGAAGTTAAGAAATTTGAAAATTTAGGGTGAGGTTATAATTCATTAAAAACTATATACATATGCGAATAATAAAAGAATTGTAACTTGTTACGACTAAAAAATAATTAAAAATTATTAACCTTGAAAATAAAATACCTTTTTATTCATTTAATAAACGAATTTATGGTGAGTTTCTATTATCTCTTGTTATTCCATCCTCACCCAAATAAAATTCATAACTTCCGACATCAAACAATGGAGAGGCTACAAATTCCGCATTGGGATGTTTTTTAAACAAGACTTCTGTATATACATTCATTTGACCATCTTCAATATCATCTACCTTTGTTTTTGATATTTTTATTGATATGTAATGTCTCAATCTTATCAAAATTTTTTAACTAGATCAGAGATAAGTAGAAAAAGGGGAGAGATAAGTAGAAAAATAAGTAGAAAAAGGGCTTTTTTCATCGAGATCCAAAATCTCGAATATCAACGGGAAATGGCGGATACAGTACTTAAAAAATCTGATCTAGTCAAATCAGGTATCAATTAATATAAACCCTAGAAATAGAAAAAAATTTTTGTTCAAAAATTTTTTATCCAATTTTTTCAAAAAACACCCTCTACTTAACTATAACCTCACCTTCAGAAATCATATTAGGAATGCTCGAAAAATTCTTCAAAAATTTGCGTAAACTTTTCCTTTGATAATAAGTAGAAAAAGGGCTTTTTTCATCGAGATCCAAAATCTCGAATATCAACGGGAAATGGCGGATACAGTACTTAAAAAATATTTTCTCAAGTGTAGAATGTAGATAAAATTTTTTATTATAGTCCATCTGAATTTAATGCTACAAAAAAATAAAATATAAATAATTTATAAATTGTCATGATAAAAAATTCCAAGCAAACAATACTCTACACCAATTATTACCTGTTTGCAAACAAAAAGATTTTTTATTAATTTTTTTATACTACTTTTTCTATAAGAAAATAATTCTTTAATTTTTTATATTTTTTGGTAGATGAATAGCAATTAATATAAAAATAATTAAGTACTCCTTCCGGTTGGAAAGAAGTTGGAAAGAGCAAAAATTAGGTTTTATCAAAGAAATAAATTTTAAAGTTAATTTTATTTTAACTTAAAATATTTTTATAATAAATATTTATTCATTAAAAACTATATACATATGCGAATAATAAAAGAATTGTAACTTGTTACGACTAAAAAATAATTAAAAATTATTAACCTTGAAAATAAAATACCTTTTTATTCATTTAATAAACGAATTTATGGTGAGTTTCTATTATCTCTTGTTATTCCATCCTCACCCAAATAAAATTCATAACTTCCGACATCAAACAATGGAGAGGCTACAAATTCCGCATTGGGAATTGAAAATAAAATACCTTTTTATTCATTTAATAAACGAATTTATGGTGAGTTTCTATTATCTCTTGTTATTCCATCCTCACCCAAATAAAATTCATAACTTCCGACATCAAACAATGGAGAGGCTACAAATTCCGCATTGGGATGTTTTTTAAACAAGACTTCTGTATATACATTCATTTGACCATCTTCAATATCATCTACCTTTGTTTTTGATATTTTTATTGATATGTAATGTCTCAATCTTATCAAAATTTTTTAACTAGATCAGAGATTTTCTTGAATATTTTGAATACGCATCTTTCCCCATTTGTTTTTTTTAATTTTAACTTAGAATTGAAACCAAATTATCAACTAAGCTCATAAAATAATTGCTTGGATTTTCAAATTTTAAACAAATTTCAATGTGAGAATATTCCATTTTCTCTCCATGTTTTTTGTTATTGAGAATTTTAAAGGCCCATAACAGATTTCTTTAATTTTTAGCGCTGCAGGCTAGACTTTTATGGTTATTTAGGTTATATTTTTTCTTATTACCGCCACAGACGAAATTTTGAGAATTTTAGAGGCCAAGTAGCCAAATTTCTTACTTTTTATGCGCTGTAGACGAAAATTTTAAGAATTTCGATTGCTACATGAGAAAAATTTCTTTCCTGTGTCATAAGCATTTTTTTCTTTCCTAGTTAAAAAAAATACCTGTGTTAAAAACCAGCACTTTTCGAAAATTTAATTTTTTTAGCTTCTATAGCTTTTTTATTTATCAAGAATTATTAAATTTTTATACTATTTTGTGAAAAATTTGTATTCTAAATTCATGTTAAATACAAATATGACCTTTTCTAATAAATAGTGGTGAAACATTTGAAGTTTTGAACTAAAAAACGGCAATATACGAGTATATCTTTATTATAAATATTTGGTTTCTTATTTATGTCAGTCAACATAACTTATTTGCATAGCAACATTAAAAAATAAAACCAAAAATTTTACAAGAATTAAAGTTTATTTAAATAATTAATAAACAATTAAATTTTATTAGTGAATGACGGTGAAATATTAACGACGGTATTCGCTTAGCCCTGATATACTATATAGTGCATATTTCGAATTGTTTAATGCATAAAAATCCTGTCTCTATTGATATCAGTGGATTTCATGAGATAACAAAGGATATGAAGTTTAAAATCGCCAGTTATCCATTCATATCCCCCTTATCTTCAAAATCATAATCTTCAGATTTTTTGAAAGCGTAATATCTCCTTATTCTCTTCAAACCAGTCAATAACCTACAAATAATCCACCTTGATTTTCCGAAAATCCAGATATCTTGATCCCTATCTTATCCGATATCCCTCCAGATTTATCTTAATCTCTGCAAATCTCGTATAAATTCATATACTAATAGTAATGGTTTAAACATACATTTTTTCTTTGTCTTAACTACAAAAGCACCGTTTTCGGTTTCCTTTAGTCTAAGGATCGTAAAATACTCTAATCTATAGTTCGGGTAGTTATTTCGACTACAGTAATAGAGTAATACATTCCATTTTGTTTAGCAGAAAGAAAAATAGCGATGGATTTGTATTTTTTTCATCATGATGAATACGAGCGTCTTTACAATTGTAGTATTTACAATGTAGACCATATTCCTTTAGAAAAACGTCAACATAAATTACTGGCAATTTTTGTTGTTATTTTGTCTACAATATATGAGGTATATTTACAAAAAAAAATAAAAAGCTTTCAGTTAAGCCTTTTTGAATATGGAACAATAAACTGTCAGGTTGTCCGGCGCTAAAAATGGAGAAAATAGGCTTCTTGGCTTTCCAAAATTCAAAAAATTTCCGACTGCTGCGCGAACCCCTTCATTATTTACAGTAAAAATTTTTATTCCAATTTTTTTAACAAAGTTCCGGTTCCGGTCAGTAACCAAAAAATTAGATACGGTCCGGATCCGGCTAAAATTTTTTGGTTCAGATTCCGGCCTTTGCGGTTCCGGCGAAGCACTAATGGCGACCATTAGTCTCTTTCAGAGGCATTTCCTCAATTTCGAATAACCTCTCAATAAGCGATTATCAATGTTTAGATAATAAAAATAATTAGTTAACACAAACCTATTATTAAACAGATACTCTATATTCTTTGTTTGTTTTCAATTCGTAAGCTAATGGCAAAAAGTAATTGTTATAAAATTATGTTCGTTATGGGGGTATTTGATATGGCAGGACTTTTATTTGTTGGATTTTTAACCGGATATTTGGGATATTTCGGATATGTTTTTTGTTCTTCTCCAAAATTAATTTATTTTGCTGGAGCATATGGATGTTGTATGTGTTTTTAATGATTTAATGATATTTAATTATTAGTTTGCTGGTCTACTGAATCTATAACGGCCGGAATTTTAGCCTTGAATCGTAATGTTGAAATATGTGACTTCGACTTGTCTAGAAAACTTTTTAGTGGTAGGAAAATAAATAGCAATATTACTCTGTCCCTAAAAAATTAGAAAAAAGGACGTTATGAAACATCATCTTTCAAATATGTAATTTGCCATAAAACGAGAAAAAAATAAGAAAAATAGAAAGGGAAAAGGGGGCGATTCCAAACTATTTCCAAATACCGTCTTTGCTCTAATTGAATGACAGTCATTCTATTTTTCATATGCCCCAAAAAAGTGTCATTAATTTAGAGATGTCATTCAAATGGATCTGTCATTCTATTTTTCATAGGTCAGAAATACAGATAGGATGAATCGAATATCCCATCTAATATTTCTGAATTCGTAATTTTACCGATTTTTTTGGTTTTCTATAGTTTGGTTTTCGAAATTTTCGGTTTCAGGATTTCAAAATTTTACCGACATTTGGGTTTCGATAGTTTGTGCTATTGAGGAATTTGGGCATGATATAGAGTGATAAGCCATTTAGAGTTATTTTGAAGGATTATATTAGGTTATGATGGACATCAGGAAATTTGTTGGGATTCGGAGGGATATTGAAGTAGTTGGAGAATATCAAGTGATTAAGGAGATATAGTATTTGTAGGACTGTTAATATTTGTAGGACTTAATGGGATATCAGTAATTTGGAGGACATAAATTTCTTTTTTTACAAAATATTAAGATAATTCATATCTAAAAATATCAGAATCCAAATCCATCCATATCTCCAGATATGACTCAGTTCATCTTATATCCCTGATATACTTCAAATCCTCTATATCATTCCAAATCCTTACTTACCCTCTTAATATCTCTTGATCTACGAATCACTAAAACGTCCTCTAATCATTTCAATCTCTCGATATTTTCCCCAAATCCTTTTAATCTCTTGTATATCCCTTTTTCCTCCCAAATCCCCTGATATCCCTCTTAATCCGCTTCATATCCCTCTTAATCCCTTCAAAATATCACATTTATACATACTAAAAAGGAATATTAAACTAAAGGGATAGAGATATAAGAGTTAATAGTTAATATTTAAAAAATGTCATTCAATTAGAGATGTCATTCAATTGGAGGCTGTCATTCTATTTTTCATATACCCCTAAAAATGTCATTCAATTAGAGATGTCATTCAATAAGAGATGTCATTTAATTAGAGCAAATACTTTATGTATATTTAAAATAAGATATTTAAATTAATTAAATAAAATTAAAAATATAAAAGTGCAAAAGGAAAAAATATAAAAAATGGACTTTGTATTTTTCTAATAAAATACAAAGAAGATTTGTTAAATCTGTTCTGTTTTTAACAAAGATAAAAGATAAAAAAGTAATTACCGTATTTCCTCTATTAGAATGACAGTCTCAAGTTGAATGCCAGTCTTTAATATAATGCCACTTTGGAAGGTGATTGAAAAATATGTAGAATGCCAGTCACTTTTTGAATGACACCTTTTTTAATAACGAAAATTTTCCAACTTTAAGAAATATTTGATCTAAAGCTATTTCTATTGATTTTTCCTTATTTTCTTGCCATTTTTCAAAACTAAAGTTCGTCAAAATTGCAAATTCGAGATCCCGTGACGGGATTTTCTAGAAATGTAAATATCGGACCCGTTGAGAGTTAAGGATTTTTACTACATAAATATAGGGAACTTAAGTGAAATCACGGATATCGTGTTTGAACTAGAGTTCAGCGGGATCGGGATCTCGGTCGGGATCGGGCGGGATTATCCCGGGTTTTTCGAATCCCGATCCCGATTTTTTAATCCCGGTCCCGATTCGGGATCTTTCTGGCCAATCCCGATCCCGAGTCGGGATTGGCCAGAAATCCCGATCCCGAGTCAGGATCCGGGATCGGGACCACCATTCCAAAATCCCGGTCCCGGGTTTTTCTCTGAATCCCGATACCGCTGTTACTCTAGTTTGAACTATTAAGAAGAATTCAATGATATTGGGAGATATGTGGCGATTAAAAAGAGATATAAGTGGAAAAAGAGTATTGTGGTCTCACTCATGGTGGGGACATTATAGGGAAATTGGCTTGTCGAGATTAGATTTATAAGTTAAACAACTGGCAATATTTTTAGGGAGTTTTTAGGCGGATTAAATAAAGCACACGCCCCCATTTTTAAAATATCCTATCGCAATAAAGAAAGATGGGCGTGCCTTGAATGATGAAAAGAGAAAGAAAATTATTTTTATTTATTTTACCGCAATATTTTTAGAATTAGAGGGGCTTAACGACTGGTTAAATTTTAAGAAATTTTTTTTTAATTTTTGAAATTGACAGGGTCATAATTTTCTTGTTCAGTACCCCGTCCTACACAGAAAATATATTTTTTGTAGGAAATCTAAAGATTGTCCGCAAAAATTTTGCGGACAATTTTTGCGGACTTTTTTTTGTCCGCAAATTTTTTGGAATAATTTTTAAAATTTTTTCACCTTATTATTTTTCCAGATTTTTCTAATAAATAAATTAAAATGTTAACTCGACAAAATAATAAAAATCAACAAATTAATCACCCCCAAATTCCTGGTAATTTTTGAAAATAATTTAATTTTAATTTAAATTTTAGACTTTAATATATTTTTTGGAAATAGAAGAGGTTTAAATGTTTGTAGTGGAGCTAATAGACGTTCTCCCACTCCGGATTGTCCAAGTTTTGAACATTTGGAAAGGAAGGTGTTTTTTTTGAATTTGATAAAATAATTTTGTCCGCAAATATTTGCGGACAAATTTTGCGGATCAGTCTCGAGGCTATATTTTGGGCCATAACTTTTTTGATTCTTAACCGATTTAAATAATTATTATATCAATCGAAAGCTCTGGATTTGTTAATTATTTTAGCTACAGGATTATCTGGTAAGATCATCTTTTAAAGAGTTACAACTCAAAAGAGACCGAAAATCATGATTTTGCGCACTTATCCAACTTTATCTTTCTGTAGGATGATCTTATCAAATCATCCTGCTAGCTAAAAATAATCAACAAATCCAGAGCTTTTGATTGATATAATAATTATTCAAATCGGTTAAGAATCAAAAGAGTTATGGCACACAATATGGCCGCGAGAAAGAAGCGGCACATATTTGTCCGCAAATATTTGCGGACAAATAATTTTTTGAAATTTTCTTTAAATTAATTTTTCTAGCAAAAAAAGCCAATAATGGAAAGGAAAAGAAGGGCAAGATTAAATGCTTGTTTTGAAAGATTAAAGGAAATATTACTAACTTCGGACTCGCAGCAAAGGTTTGCGGACAAATTTTTGCGGACAAAAAAATTTTTAAATTTAAAGCAGTAAATTAGAAAAAGCGGATGTTTTGGAAAGGACTGTAATGTTTGTTGGACATTTACAACAACAACTTAGATCAGTACAACAAAATTTAAAACAATTACTTGTTGGGACTGAAAATGGACAACAATTCCAAAAAGGTGTTTCTATCGCTATTGCGGCTACTAATGAATTGTTGGCTGGATTACAGGTAAATAAAGAATTTTTTTTAAATAATTAATTCCCTTTTAAATAAATATCTCCCCCAAAATTTGGTGGAAAAGTGGGTTTTTTATTTTTGCGGACAAAAAAAATGTCCGCAAATTTTTGCGGACATTTTTTGCGGATTTTCTTGTTTTTTCCAGCATTTTCATGTTTACTATTTTGGAATTAACCTAGCTATAAGTTTCACCCTCAATTTATAATTAATAATACCTTTTTAAAAATTTAGCCAGAATTATGTAAAAGAGTCCAAATAGAAGTACCCGAAAGAATATTGCGTGCATTAGGTGTTTCTTCCAATAATTCTAATTTATTCGCTTCAAATAATTTAATTCCAACTTCAATACAACAACAAAATAATAATAAATTAATTAATCCGTCTCTTATTTCTAATGGTTTGTTTTTTTAAAATTTTTTACGAAAATTTTTTCTTGCGGACGTCCGCAAAAGTTTTGCGGATGTCCGCAAAATTTGAAAATGTCCGCAAGTAAAATTTTTTTTTCTTTTTTTCCAGTTAATCAACAAAAATATACCAATAATTATTTTATTAATCCAATTAATAACAATAATATTTCGAATAAAAATAATATCTTCCCGAATAATACTCCACCAATACCTCCAGCAACTTGTTACCGTCTTCCTTCAACTTCTTTAAATTTATATCCTTTACAACAACAAAATTCTTTTTTAAATTATTATTATCCGTCTAATTATGTAATTAATAATGTGGGTAATTGTGGAATTAAAAAAGGTTTTTTTAATTTTTTAATTAAAAAAGTCCACAAAAAAATGTCCGCAAAATTCTTGCGGACGTCCGCAAGAATTTTGCGGATTTTTTTTAGAAAAGATTATTTAAACCTTTTAATATTTAAAAAAATTTAATTAGCTCCATCAAAAGAAACAAATAAAGAAGAAAATGAGGAGGACGAAGAGCAAGTTGTGGATGTTGAAAGTTTAATTAATGAGGAAGAGGAACAAAAAGAAGAGGAAAGTTTAGAAGAAGATAAAAATAAAGAGGTAAATAGTGACAGTCTTAAAATGAGGCGAAGGAATATTTCAAGAAAAACAGTTTGGAGGCCTTATTAATTTTTTTAAAAATAATTTTTTGTGTTAATTAATTTAATTAATCTTATTTAAAATATTTTAATTGAATAAAGCCAACCCAAAAGATCACCACTTCCCTTTTAGTGTTGCTCTATAGGGTGGTGATCTAATGGGCTTAATTCTTTATCAAACAAAAAATTTTTTTAAATAGTTGATAATTGGTTATTATCAGCGTGTGAATGTTTTGAATAAATAGCTAGAGAAAGGCTTCTCTGATAGTAAAATAAAAATAATTAATTTTTATTATTATCTTAAAAGCTGTGGGAAATTAGAATACTAAAATTGAATTAAATAAATAGGTTAAAATTCACTGTAAAAATCATAAAAAATCTGAAAAAAATTTTTTTAACAGAAAAAAATTAAATTTTTATACTTTTCTAAGTTTAATGTATCCAAATCTTTAATTAACTAAAATAATTTCCACAAAAGGGGTCGAACCTCCGACCTTTATAGGAGAAATCAAAACACTTTCCCACTACACTAAAAATAATTTTTTCTTGAAGAGGTTGCATAATTTGTTGGATTTAATCTGATGTTTAGATAAGTTAGAGAAATTTTGTTTTTGAATGCATTACTGTATTTATTTAATTTTTGTAATGTTTAAGGGATTAATAATTTATGGCTACTTATTAAAAAGAGAAATTGCCAAAAAAAGATTAATCTCTCTAAAAGAGATTAATAAGTTTGCGCATGTTTATAAGAAAAAAATTAAAAGAAAAAAGGAAAGCGACACAAAAAATAACTTTAAAAATTGCCGTTTAGTAGTTAATAATCGTTTCTTTACCTGGGAAAGTTTAAAAATTAAGAAAAAAATTTTTTTGGTCTTCCGCCTATTTTTCTGATTAAAGGAAGAGAAGAGAGGGGGATTAAGCGTTGCAAAGGAAAGGAAAGATTTAATTTTTAAAAATTGCCTCGGGCAATTTTTGTTGGTTCTTTCTTTTTGGTATATTTGCTTTCCGGTAAGAGGTCATCCCAAAAGATCAACACACCCAAAAGATCACTACCCTTTTTGATCTCTTAGATGTTGATCTTGTGGGTGGACGGACATCCCTTATGGGCTGGTAGGAATAAAATAAATTTTTATTTTATAAATTTTATTTAAACAATAAGAACACAAAATTCAGGTGATTTGGGTTCTTTTGGTTGATCTAAATTAATATCTTCACTATTATCTTCTTTGCTAGTATTATTTATTTTTAATTGTGATTCTTCTTCTTTTTCGTTATTTGTTGGTAATTGACTTGAAAATAATTTTTCCATGTGCTATTATTAAAAATATTTTTAGTGTTATTATTTAAACATATTTTTGAGGAAAAAAAGCCCCAGAGGTCTCTAGGAACGAATAAAAAATTTTATTACCTAGGTAGCTCAGTTGGTAAAGTCTTTGTATGGGAGTGATTAAGGGTGGCGGGTTCGAACCTTCCTCGGGTCCAAGTATTTTTAGAGGTCTATAAGAGACCTCTAAATACTTTCAGGGGTCTTCTAGAGGGAAGAACAAAAGAAGAACACAATTATTAGTCATGTAGCTAAGGTGGAAAAGCTTTTGACTTGTGTTCAAGGGGTAGCAGGTTCGAACCCTCCCCGGGCCCAAACATTTTTTAACTCTTAAAATTTACCTTTTTAACTTTATTTGCAATAAATTCTTGATATAAATTAAATTCTTGTTTAAATTTTTCTAATTTCTCCAATTCTTTTTCATTTAATTTTCTAACAGGCTTATCTCCAATATAAACATAATCTCCTTGTACTGTGCAGCCATCAAAAACAAATTGCGTAGTGGCATTTTCAGAGCAAAAACTTGGCTGATTTGTTAGGGAAAGGGAAATTAAAATTATTTTAAATTGAAAATTTTTGCGGACAAAATTTGCGGACGAAAAAATTTTTGCGGACATTCTTTAATTTTTGCGAAGTTTTCTTTAAAACTTTTTACAAACCCTCTTGGGAGGTTCTGGTTGTTGTTGCCTTTTTGTATCCCCAGAAAGTGTTTGTTGCTGTTTTTGTTGCTCAATAAATGTTTTGGCAGATTCTTTGAATTCCCCCAATTCTTTAATATATTTTTCCATTTCCTCATTTTCTTTTTCAGAAAGATTTTTTGTAAAACGTCCATTAATATAAAGTTTGCCTCCCTTCAAAATATTTTTTTGAAAATAATGGAAGAAGTAGAGAATGGAAGGTTGTTTTTGCGGACAAATTTTTGCGGACAACCCTCCACTTTTGCAAATACCAAAAATAATTACCGAAACAACACAACCAAAATTTCCTCCTCCAAAAGGACTAAAACCAGAAATAAATCGTTTTGCACGATTACTAGATTGTTTAGTTAAAACAATTGTAATAAAAATATTTAAAAATAAAATTTTAAAAAATAAAAATTTTGACATTTCAATAACTGAAAAATAAATTTAAATTTTGGGACACACCTTATTATAGGATACCTCAAAGAGGTACCCTCCAGTGCTGGGTATTTGCCATTTGTTGGCTCCGGCTCCGGGCTCCGGGGTTTCAAATTCTTGGCTCCGGCTCCGGGCTCCGGGGTTTCAAAATCTTGGCTCCGGCTCCGGGCTCCGGCCTTTTAAAATCTTGGCTCCGGCTCCAGCTCCGGCTCCGGAGCCGGCGATTTTCGGAGCCGCTCCATGTTGGCTCCGGGCTCCGGGTGGAAAGTCAATGAATTATTTTTCATTGGGGATTTGGGTAGATAAAGGGGGATATCGAGTGATATAAGAGGATTAAGAGGGTTATCAATGGATTAAGCGGGATTTGTGTGGATTATCTTGTGATTTAGGTAGATTAAGGGCGATATCGGGGGGATTAAGGGGATCTGGATCTAAAAATCTTCTTTTTTTTGCGCCGCAGGCGAAAATTTTGAAAAATTTGGACGATCCTTAAGCCAAAAATCTTCCTTTTTTGCGCCGCAGGCGAAAATTTTGATAATTTTAGAAGATCCTTAAGCCAAAAATCATCCTTTTTCAGCGCCGCAGGCGAAAATTTTAAAAATTTTGACACCCTAATGACTAAAATTAATCAATTTGAAAAATTTATCAAGCTTCATTTAATAAAAAAATGATTATAATAATTTATTGTTGAAAGAAAAACAAATCCAAAGTCTTTCATTACGTTCGGGTTCGAACCTAATACCTAGATAAGTCCTCTAAAATATGAACCCAACACACTATCCAGTCAACCACGCATCTTTCTTAAAGGAAATGAAAGAAAATCTTTTTTACCCGTCTCAATTTTCTCTTCCTTTTCTTTTCACGCCTACCATCTTTGCTTACTTCTTTTTCTCTAACCCATCTTTAGGGGTGTATAGCCGGAGCCGTGGGGAATTGGAAAACCTTGGCTCCGGCTCCGGGCTCCGGGGTTTGAAATTCTTGGCTCCGGCTCCAGCTCCGGCTCCGGGGTTTCCAAAATCTTAGCTCCGGCTCCGGCTCCGCCGGAGCCGGCTCCGGAGCCGGGCTCCGGAGCTAGCTCCCGGAGCCATACCCAGCACTGGTACCCTCTCTTTAAGAGGACAGAATTATTACTCTGTAGCTCAGCTGGTAAAGCGTTTGTCTATGGTGATGAGGGGTGTCAGGTTCGATTCCTCTCAGGGCCCGAACATTTTTAACTTCATTAATTTAGCAGATATTTAAGGAAAGAAAGTTCCAGGTTGTCTATGAGAGTACTAAATCTCACCTTAATACAGGCGAGGCTAAACTATTAATGTAATTTTAAAATTTTTATTTTTCGACAAAAACGTTTTGAATTAAAATTGAAGGATGGAAAAATGGGACAAATAAATCTCTCTCAAAAAAATAAACGTAAAATTGAGGACAACCTTAAATAAAAAATTTTTTTGTTGTGTACTTACTGGTTAGAAAAATGTAAATATTTTTAAAAGAAGAATTGGGACAAATAAAAGCCGGTTTTGCATTGTTTGTTGAAAAATAATAGTATTATTATTAAAAATGTTGATGTAATTCAGCTGCTCTTTCCGTCAAAAATTTTTTTGTCTAAGAGAGAAACAATGGGACAAATTGTGGTGACAGAAAAAAAATAAAGCCTGACTGAGAGGACTTACGTAAAATTAAAAATAAAAAGTACTTTTTATCACAAATTAATCCCATAACCATTATCTTATGAGGACTCTTATTTTGTGTCGGGTTTTTGTATTAAAAAAATTTTTAAATTTTTATCACAGAGATAAAGAATATGCAGATATTAGAAACGTCCGAAAATAAAAATTGCTCCAAACCTCAGACCACACCCCAAAACCAAAAAAATAAATAAAAAAAGGCATAGTTTCATGGCCTAAAGTTTCGGACGTTCTATACAAAATATATATAATATTTTGACATAAAAATATGTGCCAAAAATCCCCTTTAAAAATAGCCCCCAAATTTAGAAATTAAAAAGTAAAGTATTTTGTGATTTTACTTGAAAGAGTTTACACCTAACCATAAAAGCATTTTACAATAATTAATCTTATTAAAATAACAAGATAGAAAATTTTTGTCTAAAAAAGAAATCCTAAAAAAAGTCAAACCATTATAAAAGTTAAAAGTCACCCCAGTCATCAAAAAGTGATTTAACATCTTTTTGTTCATTATTGGCTTTTTGATTCAAATTGGAAATGTGTTGCTGTAAAAATAAGGAAGGATGATAAGTATGATTTTATGAAAACCCCTTATATTTTTAAGATACCCCCTCGTTATAAGACAATTTTTCAGACATAAGGGCTGAAGATTTAAAAATTTCAAAACCCACTTTTACACACTTTACAGACATATTATCAGTCTTCTCTGTCGATATTTGGTCATTATCATCATCATTCCAAGCCCAATCATCTCCCTCAAAGTCATCTTGCTTATCATCAATTTCTTCATCTTTATTAATTTTAGTATCTTCTACCTCCTCTTTATTATTTAATAATAAATCATTTTCCTCTTTTTTAAATTTATTTTCCACCTTCTCAACTTTATTTTGATCATCAACATCATTATTTCCCTCCTCCTCCTCATTCTCCTCATCATTCCATCCCCAATCATTATTATCCTCATTTAAATCTTGTTTATATTCATTGTCAACAATATTTTCCTCCTCATTATTATTTTCATCCTCATCACAATTCCATAAATTTTCTTCAAACAATTTTTTTTCTTCTTCTTCGATTACCTCATTAATAATTTTATTATTATCTTCACTGGTAGAAGAAAACAAATTTATTTCAGAATTAACCTTTTCATTTTCTGATAAATCAAAGGTTTTATCAACTTCAAAATTGCTTCCTCCTCCAAAATCTTTATTTAATTCAAAAGGTGTTGTTATGTTATTTTCTTCTTCCTTTTCATTTTCTTTCATCTTCAATAAAATTTCATCCAATTCATTTTGTAATTTAGCATTAGTCTCAATTAATTCATTATTTTCTCGAACAAGAGCTTCATTATCTCGATTTTTTATTGTCAAGTTTGAAGATAAAAGTGCTAGTTTAGTTGTACAATCATGGAGATGATTTCTTCCTTAATAAAAAGATTAGGAAACCCAAAAAATTTTTTGGAGAGTGGACACTCTGAAAGGTTTCTTATTCTTATTTTTATAGATAAATCTCAAAAACTGCAAGAAATTAAAAAAAACATTGACTTTAGTTGTTTATCTAAGGATTTCCCATGTCCGATTCCATTAGAGCCCAAACCGAGACGTGGTCTCAATCAGGGGTGGGCGCAAGACAAACTCAAAAAACGCAAAATTCAAGACGCAAAACGAGAATCGCACACCCCTGATCTCGATCGAAAATCTCGGCTATCAAAAACGTAATTTCTTAGAGATATCGATCTTGATTCTCGTACGACACTCCCAATCCAGGTTCAAAAATTAAAAAAAAATTCTTTAATTTCTAACCACATTTGTGTTCTTTAATTTGTTTCAAATATTCAAATAATTGTTTAAAATCTGTCAAATTTTTTGCTTCAATTTGTGCTTCTTTTAATTGTTGTAATTCATAGCGAAGTAATGACATTTCTTTAGCATTTTTCTCGTTAAAATTAATTAACAGTTTTGTAAGTTTTTCATTTTTATTCATTTCTGTTTCAATAGAAGAACAAAGATTCTAAAAAAACAATTTTTTTAAATAGCTCTAATCTAGTTTATGAGTACAATGGACTCTGAATTTTTATTCAAACACATAAAAATTCGACTTATAACCTACTATTGGACTTAAAAACTAAACTGGGTATATTCCCGTAATACCAAAACGCCAGAATTCCTAGCCCAAAAAGCTGTCGAAACAAAAAACTGTGGAAAGGGCGCCGAAATACCAAATAAATACCAAAATGTTAACAACAACACTCCCTGTAATTGGAATATGTACACATGTGCTTGTTATTTTTCCGTAGTTTGGCATTTCGACAGTTTTGAAGATTTGGTATTTGAGCGTTTTGATATTCGATTGAGTTAGAAAAAAAATTCTTTACAAACCATATTTTCCTTCTCCATTACTTTCTCATTCTCCTCATAATATTCCAATTTAATTTTTAATTCAATCAGTTCACCATTTCGTTCTTCCACTTCGAAAGTTAATTTATCATTTTCTGAACGTAATTGTTTAACCAAATTTCCAACTTGTTCAAGACTATTTTTAAGTACATTTTGTTCAGAAAAACGCTAAAAAATTTTTTAATTTCAAAAATAGATCAAAAAATTTTGGCACTTGTGTAGTTTCCCCTCAATAAGTCCTGCCCGCTTCAATACCTTCTTTTAGAGTAAAGAAAAACTTTACACCCCCCCCCCCATCTTTTTCTTATAACAATTTCTCTTGAAGCGAACTAGTCCTTTACTCCACAAGAAAAGAAAGTGAGGAAATATAGGCGGGGCTTATGGGGGGAAAACTACACAAATACTAGAATTTTCCAGTATTTTTTACCTTTTTAATTTCTTCATTTAAAGCCCAAACTTCTCCTTTCAAAATTTCTACTGAAGTTTCCAAAGAGTTTTTCAATTCCATCAATTGTTGCACATTTATATCCATATCTCTTTCAAATTCTTGTCGATCTTGAATACATTCCTTCAACAATTGATGGCTTTGTTGTTGGATTAAATTAAATTTTTCTTGGTTTACAACGTCAACATCTTCAGTTATTATCTTCTAAAACCCTTATATTTTTTCGATTTTTTACAAGTATTTTCGGGATAGAAGCCCACAACTTGTCGAAATTTCGATTTGCTATTTTCGAAGGATTTTTTTGCTTCGAAGCAGTTCTGCATAGTTTTGCATATAAGGATTCATAAAAGAAACGATCAGTGAATAAATACCTCTCGAGAATACACCCTCAAAATTAGACTCGAAAAAATACTTAAAATTTTCAGGGATTACGTCCATAATTCCCCTTAGTTTTTCTTAAAAAAATAAAAACAAACATCTTCACCAACAGCTACATCTTTAAATAAAATTTTTTCTTCTACAAATCCATCAGTTTCAACTCCAATTGTTTTCATTTCAATTTTATTATCCTCAATATATTCATCACATTGTATTTGAGCATCAATTAAATTTTCTTCCTTTTCAACTTGCACATTTTTATGACAAATTTTAATTAATTCTGTTTGTGTTTGTAAATCATCAAAATTTACTGAAAAAAATTTATTTGAACAAAAATTAAAAAACCTGAATTCATTTTACTATTTTCCTTCACATTTTTATTTAATTTATTCAATTCTTGAGAAAGTTTTTCATTTTTATTTTGACATTCAACCAATTCATTTTGTAAATTTAATAAATTGTTACGTTCAGAAATTAATAAATTCTTTTCTATTTCTAATGCAGATTTTTGATTTACTAAAAAAGATTTTTTTTAAAGAGAAATATTGAAGTAAAACCCCAACCCCTCTCCTTTTCAAATTAGCACCAAAGATGTCCCAGGTTGAAAGAAAAAATCGGACCGGGGTTCCAAAATTTTCTTCGAAACGGGTATCGGATCGAAAAAAGTTTTTTTCAAATTCAAGATCGAATTCAAAATTTCGATCGATTTTGATTAACCCGAAATTACTCAAAATTGATTGACCCGGCCCATTCTTAATCAGCCCACAAAGTATTTAAAAAGAAAAACAAACATAAATCTTCAGCTAAAGCTTCAGCTGTTGCCAATTGTATTTTTAAATTTGCAATTTCATTTTCAAGTTGTTCAACAACAATATTATTATTTTGTAAATCTTCTCCTTTTTCTTCTCCTCTAAATTCCTTTTCTTCCTCATTTTTACAATTTTCAATTCCTTCATTTATAAATTCATCCAAAGTAGTTAAATTAACAACATTTGATTTAAATTTATCAACAATAGAATTTAATAAATTAACCAATTTTTCTAAACGACTTTTTTCTTCATTTAATTTTGAAGAAAGTAAAGCTGATTTTTCCTTTGAAAAAAAATTTTTTGTAATTAAAAAAATAATTAAAAATACATTTAATTCAACAATTTTATTTTGTAATGATGCATTTTCTCTTCTTAAACTACCAACAAGTTGTTCAATTGAATTAATATTTTGTTTTAATGAAGCCTGTTTTGATAAATTTTTAAAAGTTTTTCGAAATTATGCCGGTAAAAAAAGTCCGCAAAAACTCCCAAAAACCACAGTTTTGCATTCGAGGGGGTTTGGGAGGATTTTATTTTGTAATGATGCTTCTTCTTTAACTTTTTTATTTCAAGGTATTTGGTGTTTCGATACTTGGTATTTCGAGGGTTTACATCAGATCACACACTTTACTGATAAAAATGTGCGGACTTTTTTACCAAAGATCAAAATAAATTTTTCAAAAAAAACCTTTTCTTCTTCCAAAACTTTATTTTCTGTTTCAAGTTCCAAAATTTCATTCTTTTTTGATGTCAATTCATTTGAAAGATTAACTACTTTTTCTTCAAATTCTTTAATTGTTTTATTGTTATTGTCAAGTAAATTTAAATTTTCTGTATATTTTTGCCACAAAGATTTTAATTCAAATTCAATCTGTTTTAAAATAAAATTTTTTTAATTCAGTAAACACTTGTAAAAAATTAAGGGTGGAGATTCTCCCCTTTTATTTTTCATCTCGGCTTGGCTCGATTATCTGATCAATCTAAAAGGATTAGAAAAAGACAACACGAGAGAATAGGATTAAAGTTAAAGTGCAGAAAAGTTGACCCCACAAAAACTGTCGAAAAGCCAAATCAATGGCTTCTGGATTTTCATCACACTCCGAAAGATTATTCCTCAAAAACCGGGGATCTCCATCCTTACAAGAACCAATATTTAAAAATTATTTTAAAAAACCTTCAATTTTGTCTCTTCCTGTTGTTCATATTTACATTTAAACAAATCATTTTCAGCTTTTAAAGTCTCAATCTGATCAAAAAGTGTGTCATTGTATTGTTGAACTTCATTTAATTCGTTTCTAGTTGATTCAAAAATATTTTTAATTTTCAAAGATTTTTGTAAAAAATTGGAATAAATATCATCAATATTTGTCTAAAAATAAGACTCTTTGTTAAAAAATTTTTTTTGACAAACCAAATCTCTTTCCTCTTCATTTCCAAAAATTCCTTCCTCTTCAATATCATCATTATTTAACTTTAAAATAAAAATTATTATCTTCTCCAAATCACTCAAAAATTTATTTTGAGACGTTAAAATTAATTCATTTTGTTGTTTTTGCTCAAAAATTTGAATCAATAAATTTTCATTTTCTTCTGTTTTCTCCAAAAATTGATTATAATAAAATTGTTGTTGTTGTTCTGATTGTAGGATGTCCTCATTTTGGTTATTAAAATCGTCGTCTATGGTCATTGTACTAACAGAATTGTACTCTAAAAAGAATTTTATTCAATTAAAATTTTTTTTGATATTTTTAAATTAATTTTAGATCAGACCGGCCTGATCTCTGACTCACTCAAATTTAAAATATGGCTTTTTTGTTGTTGTCAGGATCACGATCAAAGCTAACAAGGAACCATATCGAACTGTCAGGAAAAATTTTCAAATAAAAATTATCCCATCGTGTAGAGCATTGAAAAAAACTTCATACGTATTTTTTCTTTTTTGGCCCTAACCCCCATTTCGAAAAGTTATAGGGCTTCAAAGTTTTCGAATTTTGGAGCGGTTGAGTCGCCCTCACTTTTCTTATTATTTGCTTCCCAAGGAGAAAAATGAGACTCCTATTCTCAATTTTTCCTTTCCTTTTCTTTTCACATGTTTGTTAAAGAAAGAGAAAAGGAGGAAAGAGAAAAGTAAGGAAAAGGCTACTCTGCCTTTCTTCCATTGCGGATTAAAAACGAAAGAGGAGACGACAGAGTAGCCTTTTCCTTTTCTTTTCTCTCTCCTCCTTTTCTCTTTCTTTAACAAACATGGGAAAAGAAAAGGAAAGGAGAAAAGGAAGATGGGAGTCTTATTTTTCTCCTTAATAAAAGAAAAATTTCTCTTTATGGGGGCGACTCAACCACTCCAAAATTCGAAAACTTTGAAGCCCTATAACTTTTCAAAATGGGGGTTAGGGCCAAAAAAGAAAAAATACGTATGAAGTTTTTTTCCATGCTCTACACGATGGGATAATTTTTATTTGAAAATTTTTCCTGACAGTTCGATATGGTTCCTTGTAAGCTAACATAAGTTTTATTTCGTTACGAAGCAAATTTTTTTCGTTTCGACACAATAAAAAATTCGTATTTCGAGCAGCCCTGATCTCGATACACTTATTTTAAAGTTTGAAAATAACCTTTAAAGTTATCTTGACTAATGCTGGGAATTCCCACCGAGAAAGAACGTTGATGTTGTTGTTGATGTTTACTACTTCCACCCTCATATTGACGCAAAGCTAATTTCAATTCATCTCTTTCTTGTTCCAAACAACGAATTTTTACTGCAAAAGCCTTAGCACGGAGTTTTTCTTCTACAAAAATTAATTTTTTAAATCAAAAATATCAAAAATTAAACCATTATTTTTCCTACAAATTTCTTCTTTTTCTGCTTCCAATGCATTTATTTTTGCAGAAAAAGCCTTCGATTTAATATATTGACGATCCTCTTTTTTGCTAGCACCAATAGAATCACGCAGAATACCAACATGAGCTTCATAAACAAGTAAATCTCCTTCTAATACACCAATAAATTCGTCTTGTGCAAAAATTGCTTCTGGAAAATAAATTAAAGGTACTTCTTGGATATTCCGCCCCCATTAGTTCGAGTCTCATTGTAAGAGATTCCCTTCAGAAGTACCTACTTGTCAAACTGCTTCCTTCGTCAATTCCACACCATTACCCTCGGTATATTCAATAAAAGACAATAAAAGGACGTTAGTTTGACTTTTGTGTACATCTTAAGAAAAACTCAGAGACTCAAACTAGGGGAGACTATCCAAAAGGTACCAAAAAAAGAAAAAAAATTTCAAAAAACCTTTTAATCGCTCAATTTCACTAGTAAGAATAGCCTTTTCATCAACAACTTGTCTAACTTGAGCGCGTGTTTGGTACAATTCAGCAATTGTGGCATCCATCTTTCTAATATTGTCGTCAAGTTTTTTTCGAAAAAGATCGGTAGTTTTAAGGCTAGAATCCATCTCTTCAACCAAATCGCTGCATTTTTGTCTAAAAAAAGAAAAAATTAACTTAATACATTTAAATTTAAACAAACTTTGAACATTCTAGTTGGTCTTGAAGTTTTGAATTTTCACTCAAAACCCATTCCCTGCTATCTTTTAATTGTTCAATTACAGCTTTTAATTCAGCAATCTGACAAAAAAATAAATATTTAAAAAAATTCACTTAATATGGTTCCCTTGTGAGTATAGGGAAATAAAAAAAATTAAGGAAAGTCTGACCATTATGTACAAATTAAAAAAAAACTTTGAGGCTCGAAATGGGGGGGGGATATCCAAAAAGCAACGGACGTTCATTTAAAAATAAAAACAAACCTCTTCCTCCTTGTTTGTCCCCTTTTGACTAAGCATCCCTTCAAGTTCACGAATTTTAGCTTGAGCAACAGCTTTCAATTTTAGAACAGTCATAGACTCTGGTTTGGCTGTTTTCTAAAAAATTTAATTAAAAAAAATTCAAAAGAAAAACAAACATTAGCAAATTGGAGTGCTTCTTCCATTTCTCTAATAATTTGTCGAAGATGATCATTTTCAGTAATTAATTCCTCATAGTCAGAAGAAGGAATTTGTTGTTTTTTAATTGGGCTTTGAACTTGTGGAGGAGAAAAATCATTTCCCTCATTTTTGTTTATGTCAATATTAAAATTAACTTTCTTCCGTTTTTTCTTAAATGTTCCATCCAAATTTTGTTGTGTTTCGGTTGTGTAAGAAGAACATCCGTCTTCGGCTGGATCAACAGGTGGGGGTGAAGAGTTGCCACCTATTTGGGAAAATAATGTAAAAATAAATCGGGTTAAGGTAGCAATAATTATGAGAGAGATTAGAAAATGGGGGACATAAACGACACCATTATTACTAATTACAAGAAAATTGTTCTGTAATGAGTAAAAATGAAAAATCATCCAGAGAAACAAACCAAAAATTAAGTAAAATCTTCCAACCTACAGAAGCCTAAAAGACCGACGGAAAACTACAAAGAAACCAGGTACGTAACCAGGGGAAGGAATACTAGGAATACTACGAGCATGCACCTACGCCCAAGAAAGATATAAGCACAAAAAAATTTTTGCAAACCTATTCTAAACTGGGGAAAAGCACGGCCAGGTGAAGATCTATGCGGACTTCTTGACCGATTTCTACGCAAACTTTCAGGTGTTGAATTAGCCCCAGAAATATCAAATAAATCAGTTGTTTCAGTAGCCACATCATTAACTTGTTTAGCATCCAATTCTTGTAATCTTCTATTAACAATGTGAATAGCCAAAGATTTTGAATGGGCAACTTGTCCCTGTTCAGTACACATTTCTTGTAAGTCAATTATTTGTCTTTCTTTTGCCAATATTAAATTGTTCATTTCATCTATTTTTAAGTCTTTTTGTTTTATTTGTTCTTGAATTTGTTTGAGGTTTGCTCCTGTCAGTGCTTCACGTTCAAAAGCCTAAAAGAACAAGGATTATACCTTAAAAAATTTCAAAAAATCTTACATCACGCTCTTCCGTAACGCTCAACAATTGTGCTCTCAAGTCGATATTCGTGTCTTCTAATTTATTTAAACGAGTTTGTAAAGTAGCATGGAGTTGGATTAATTCTGATTTATCCTTGAAAATATAAAATTGAAAAATCGAGTAATATTAAAGTTTACAGACCCTGTTTTTCAATCCACGTTTTTTCCCTTAAGATGTACATTATGGTCAGAAACACTTAAGATTCCCCCTTCTCAGGTATTTTTATATGAAAATTAGATAAATTTGGATGTTTGTGAATAGCAGGAAAGAAAATTGGACAGAAAAAAGGGAAAGTTTGACCAGTATGTACATCATGGTGAAAAAGTTAGGGATGCAAAGGGGGGGGGTCTGTAAATTTCACTATGTATCACCAAAAATCGTTATATAAAAATTACAAACCATTTTAGATAAATCATTTTGTTTGGAATATTTGTTGTCCAAAACACGCATTTCAGCAGACATTTTTTAATTAAAATATTTAAGAAAATCTGAAAAAAACGAATTAATTAACAAAAGTGCAACGTGTATTCTTATCAATAAAAGCTTTTCCAAATAAAGTAAACCCAAACCTTCACAAAAACGTGTTAAACAAACAAAAACGTGTTGAATTGACCGAATTTTGGTTGATGTATTTTGACTTGTTGATATTTTGAATTTTGACAATTTGAAATATTTAATTGAAAAAAATATCAAAATGGTAAATTTTGGAATATCCAATTGAGAAAAGCTTCAAAACATACAAAAAGCCACTTTTTAACTTTTTATCGTCTCGCTGAACAAAAACCGTGCCCGCTCAAAACATCAAACTCTTAAAATATCTAGACGAGTAAAAAAGCTCAAAATATCTAGACGGTTAAAGAATCTCAAAATATCTAGACGGCTATAAAATCTAAAAATATATTTTCTTAAAACGTCAAACTCTTAAAATATATTTACGGGTAAAATATCTCAAAATATCAAAATATATTTTTTCAATTAAAAGGGACAGTTGAGTCCGCAGAAAAAAGTTTTCGCCGCTGCGGAGGAAGCCGGGCATGTCGAGCGGAACGACGGCCGCCGCTTCGCTACGGTCGCCGCGAGCGAAGCGAGCACGACCGCAGCGAAGCACGGCCATCGTGTAGCGAAGACCATGCCCGGCCTACCCTCCGTAGCAGCACAAAAACAGTTTTTCCAGCGAAGATTCTGTTGGTCATAACTTTGTTCAGAAGCGTCCAATCGAGCTGATTTTGGTTTCACTTGATTCAGCTCGTCGAACTCATGCAAAATTGGTCCTGAAGTACTACATCTTAAAATATATTCACCCCTGATACAAGGAAGAAATATGGGACTCAACTGTCCCTTTTAATTAAAAAATATATTTTGATATTTTGAGATATTTTACCCGTAAATATATTTTAAGAGTTTGATGTTTTGAGAGAATATGTTTTGAGATTTTTTACTCGTCTAGATATTTTTGAGAGTTTGATGTTTTAAGAATTTATGTTTTGTATGGGAGCCACAAAAACTTCCTCTTTATAACATTTATTTTCAGTTTTCCCTTGCCGATTTTTGTGTCCTTTCTTTAAAGATTTTCAAAATTGTTTTTAGGCAATCAAAAATATTTAAAGAAAATTTCTACAAAAATGACGTTATTTTCATCAAAACCAGCCAATTCTCTTCTTTATCCTGCCTATCAATTTTTGACGCAATTAAGAAATAGTGGAAGTGGACGTTGGTATCCTCAACCTTTGTTTGTTTTTTAAAATTAAAATTTAATTTCTGTTCCATTTTTAAGTAATGAAATGAGCAGACACAGAACTCGCCCTCCAACTTACGGCATTCAACGACGAACAGAATTGGTTTGCATAGACAATTCAGAAATTGGGAAGGATGCGAATATGAGTGGAAGATTGGCCTATTGCATTTGGGTGTACAAAAGAGGATACAGGAAGAGGCATATGCCTAAAGCTGAACTTGGAGATAAGGTTAGTTGATGAATATTCATTTTTTTAGAGTCTTTTGGGTCCTTTTTAGATGACTTTTCCTTGTTTTCCTTACAAGGAAACCTTTCAAACAATTACCAAAAATTTCTAATTAAAAATTATACCATCGGATTAAAGATTGAAAATAAGTCTAGGATCTGGTCAGTTAGGGAAGGAAAAAAGTCGGGCCAACTTTCCGGATTGGGTTTCGGGTAGTCCTTGGCATCCATGTTGTAGAGACTGGTCGATAACCTATTAACAATTTTTTTGGGGTTTTTTGACTTTGACCTCCAAAGCTTATTTAGAAAGGTTCCCTTCTTACCTCTTGGTATTTTTTTTAAAAAATTTCTTTTAAAGATACTCGTTGCAATACGAGGCGAGATGCGTAGGGCAATCGTTGTTGGTGCAACACAACACGCTTTTATTAGAAAACATGGAATTCCTTCAACAGACACAAACAATATTGTTCTTTTGGTTTGTTATTTTTTTAAAATTATTTTTGGACCCCCTCCCCCCCATTTTTAATTTAAAAAATATTCAAAAGTTCGTCCCCTTCGATTTTTAAATTTTTCTTTTATCTCCTTAAGCAGGAATTTTCCTTAAAAATTTTTTTATTTTTAGGATGACAAAGAAAATCCAATAGGTAATCGTGTTCTTGGTCCAATGCCTTCTTATTTGATGCGGTTACGTGAGAAACAGCCAATTTTACAAAAAGTTTGTGCTTTAGGCAAAAAATTCTTTTAATTAAATTTTTTGTTATTTTTGAAAATTAAATAAAAATTTTGAGAAAAAATATTTTTAACAAAAAAATTGTTTCTTTTACAACTGTTTTTTTGACAGATTATTTTTTTGTTTTATGTTTACGTGGGCACTTTGCTCAAATTTTAATGTTTCTTCTGTTGTAACCTGTGGACGGGAATTTCCCGTCTGAACATAAGATCTTTTCCCTTTGGAAGGACACGCCTGAGTAGACGCGACCGAGAAAGCGCAAGGGCAAATGAGGGTAACTTTTTAATGAACCCCACTAGCGCACGGCCAAATCACTTTCCGGATCTGGAACCCGGATTTTGTATTTTCGTGCCTGACCGGATCCTGCTGATTTTTCTGGATTAATCCGATGCGGTTTTTTTCCGGTAAAAAAATAATTTCCGGATCCTGCAAAATTTGCCGGGAATCCGCTTACTTGGCCGCTCTTACTTGACCGGTGCCTACTTGGGCTGTACTTTTCTTTTTGAAGAGAGTGTCCGTCGTCTCTCGTTATCGCATTTTCTCCATTTATTGATTTTTGTTGTCGATCAAACAAACGAAACTAGTATTGGTTAGAGAAGACAAATTTGTTTTTCTCACGCGAGAGTCAGAAAAAATATTGATTCTCTTTCTCTAACCAGTACATGTTTTTCATTCTGACTTGAGCAAAGTTCAACAACAACGATCAATAATTGAAGAGGGAAACTTTTTTTGAGAGCATTTATTGTTTCCTCAACTTTTCTTTCACCAAATTTTTTTATTCCATAGGGGGGATAAACAAAATTTTTTTATTTTAAGACAAAAAATGTAATTTATTACAGATTTATGAAGCTAAATCCTCGAAGGACGTGCTTTTTGTGATGCTGAAAGGGATTAAAACAAATGCTCATAGCTATGTTTATTTAAGTCGGATTTCGATGAATCTAGTACCGTTCGACTCAGCTCGAAGAGCTCTTTCGAATGATATGTAATTTGCCATAAAAAGTTTAAAAAATCGAAAAAAATAGAAAGGAAAAAAAGGGGGGGGGGGACCAGCCTTGGAATTACCACATATATTTTGGTTCTATATTGGTTACCCAGATACTTTTCGATCGTTGTTTTTGATCGTTGTTTTCGATACTTTCGATCATTGTTACGCCACGGGTGAAAAATGCCCTAAATTTTTATTAAACTAATTAATTTGCCTCATGTTTATTTTTCTTTTTTAGGACTGTTAGATGACCGATGATGATGGTGGTCTCTTCAAACACAATTGGCTTGTATTTGGCACAATTTCAGTTGCCCTTCACTCCCCTACCCCTCTCCCTTCCCTGTTTGTGGACAAAACTTGCTGTGTTTTAATACAACAACATTCCTTATTTTTTTCATTCAGTGCTTTGCATGCTTTGGAACCAAAGAAGGCTGCTGCATCTGGACTTTATCAATCTGGTTTTGTTTCAAAACGTTAGTTTGTGTTTTCTTTAACTTTAGAATTGAAATCATATTTTTAGCAGTAGAGGCGGATGTGGAGCTCTCTTCTCCAACATCAAAAGCACAAGTCCCCGTTGGCATATTGCGTGCGTCCTTTAGGCGTGTTGCGTGGGTTTTAGCATGCGTGGAGGAATGTTCCGGCAATGTGCGGGGGAATATCATGCATCTGTGCGAAAGAATTGCGACAATGTGCGAACGTTCCGTCAGATGTTCGGGGGAATGTTCTAGCATTTGCTTAGGCATTTGTAGGAGTTCTTCTGGCATTTGTTTGGAGTCTGGCTTTGTTGGAGTTCTAACGGCAATGTATGATATTCTTCTGGCAGTGTTCGGAGTTCTTCATCTGTTTATGTGGGGGGAATGTTCCGGCTAATGTGCGGGGGAATAACCCAGCATCTGTGCGAAAGAATTGTGACAATGTGCGAACGTTCCGTCAGATGTTCGGGGGAATGTTCTAGCATTTGCTTCGGCATCTGTAGGAGTTCTTCTGGCATTTGTTTGGAGTCTGGCTTTGTTGGAGTTCTAACGGCTGTTGTATGGAATTCTCCTGGCATCTGGCATCAAACTTGGAAGGAAACCAAAATGGTCGGCTTCCAGCTAGGATGTCTATGGATTCGGCTGCTGAACTTAAATATAGAAGAAAGGCTGTAGAGTTCATTCAGGTTTTTTATTTATTTTGTCTGGTTGAAAAAAATTTCGTTTTTTAGGAAATGGCGGAACGGTTGAACCACAACACAGAGGACATTTGGCAAATTTGGTGCATTCGCTTGCTTGCATATTGGTGCTTGCAGATTAGGAAGTTTTAAAGGTTATTAATTATTTTACGGGGCTTTTGAGTTTAATAATTAGAATTAAATCCCTCAAATTCAAAGTTCACATTTGTATATAGAGAAAAAAATTTAAGTTATTCTAAATGACGGTTGGTTAAGTTGGTAGTGTTATTGGTTGTATAAGAATAGGACACGGGTTTAATACTTCCTAGTTGTTTTATTTTTTATTTTTCATCAAACAATTATTCTCTTTTAGATTTTAGGCCTATTGATGATGACGACCCTTTGGACAATTTTTTGATGTTGCTGTGGCTTACAACAACATGCTCCTGAAAACCTGGCTTGAAAGGTTATTTAATGAGTTTAAGAATTCTTTAAAAAAATTTTTTTTATTATTTTTAGGATGACAAAGAAAATCCAATAGGTAATCGTGTTCTTGGTCCAATGCCTTCTTATTTGATGCGTTTGCGTGAGAAACAGCCAATTTTACAAAAAGTTTGTGCTTTAGGCAAAAAATTCTTTTAATTAATTTTTTTTTGTTATTTTTTGAAAATTAAATAAAAATTTTGAGAAAATTTTAAAAATTTTATTTATCAATTGTAGGGTCTCTAAAAAGTAAAATAATTAAAATAGATCCACTAATTATTGTAAAAAGAAATGTTGAAATTGAAACGAGAGCACATAGGGAAATTATTGAAAGACAAAATTCTGGTGGTTGTTGAGTGGGTGGAGGTGATAATTTTGCTTTATTGAAGGAAAATGGTAGGGCTTCTTAAAAAAATAAAATTAATTAATTTAAGATTTAATTTCTCCTATATACCCCAACCTCTTTTAAAATAAAATAGGGGAGGGAAGGGATTATTTGTAGACTAGGGACTCATTTCAGTTCCTTTCTAGGGGCCGGATATAGAGGGCCGAATTCTGAAATTTACTGATAGATATATTTTTGTTTAAGATTTCTTCTCGGTTCGATCTCTAGTCCTTCCCCCTTCTAAAATATTCTCCTTTTATAAAATTAGCCCTCCCAAAAAATTATTTTACCTTTTCGATTAAAATCTTCGTTGTCCCGATCAATAGGATCAAAAACAGTAATTAAAGGTGAATGTAATTCCCATTCATCAGATTTAATTCCCCTTTTAACACGTTTTGTATTGTCAACTGAATCAGAAGCAATGGGCGGTGAACATTCGGGAGGCTTAAAAAAATTTTTTTTGAATTTTTTAAAAAATTTGGAGATTACAGTAATTCCATCACACCGACCAGAATCTTTAAGGCAAACAGTAATTGAACACTGAAAACATTTTTTAGAATTTTTTTAATTTTTTGTTTGCCTGAAATCCGATCATATCCCCATCGGGGAATTTTGCTACCGCAGATAAAACATTTGCCTTCAAAGAATTTTCAGAATAAGTTGGTGTAGGCAAAATTAATGGATCCACTGAACAACTAAAAAAGAATTTTTCTTATATAATTTCAAAATAAAATTTTTATAAGGATGGAGGTCACCTCCAATAAATAGGGTAATAATAACAGTAAAAATCACCCCAAAGATCACCAAAAAGTAACACTACCGTATATGCCCGATAATTACTTCTGGCTAATATTTTCTCAACCTCTGGCCAGAGGGGATAACTAATCGAAAGGAGGAATAGTTTTAGATCTTTTATTGGACAGAATCCACCCCAAGGATCACCAAACTAAATAGAAATTTTTATTGTTTGGGGTGATACAATGGGTTTTGCAATTAAAACAATTAAAAAATATTTTTAAATCCTCTTATCCCAATTTGGCCAAAAATAGCAGTAAATTGTTTAATCCATTCATTTCACGAAAATTTTATTATCAAAAAGGACACTAACTGTTTTCATTTTAAAATTTTTATTTAATCTAAAAAATGTTTTTTACTCCTATTTTTCAATTTTTTCTAATAATTCTCCTCATTCCCCCAATCTATTCAAATACAGAATGTGTACAAGTTATAGGACGCTTGTTATGCAAAAACGGGCAGAAACTAGTAATTGGTTCGGATGTTGAACTTTTGGAATTGGATAGTCCTCTAAATGTATTTTTAATGAGAAAATATTAAAATGAATTTTTAAATATTTTTTAAAGTCAAAAATAGGCGCTGAATCAAACCCATTTGATCCGGATGATAAGGCAAAAAATAATTTTTTTAAATTTAAATTAAAAGTTTAAGGTAACTTGGGTAAAGGTTAACAATGAAGATGGAATATTCAATATTGATGGATGTGGACAGGACCGTGATTGGTTACCTTGGGCGATTAATAGACCAGAATTGTAAGAGAAAAATAATATCAGTAATTATAAGGGGGTTAGATCCACTCGGAGATAAACGTGAAGAAAAAATGGTGTTGCTCTCTGGGACGCTGATTAGCGTTGGGGATCCGGTCCAAAAGGTCGAGTCGAATTCGAATATTTGCCCGAAAAAGACTCGATCGGGCCGGTCCGAAAAAAATGACTCGAACGTCGGCCTGACTCGAAAATCCTAACCCCAGCCCGATATTGTGAGTGTTAATAGGAGAGAATAATTATTAAATGTTTAGTTATTTGCGAGTTCGACATCGATGTAATACAATGAACAATACTCTCGTAGAAGAAAAATTTAAACTGGCAGCAGAACAAGAAACAAAAATTGTCCTTCCAGTCTTTCGAAAACCTCAAATGCCTTCCTTCAATATTAATGGAACAATGGAGAATTCAACAATATTTGACTGGCATTTACAACATCCGATAGAATTGTCGGAAGATGAAATGCTTATAATATCAACACAAAGACCCTTAATGGGTTTTCCTGGTGAACCTTACAATTTTGATGAAGATAAGATGGAAGGGGATAAATAGAATAGTAGGAGAACATTAAACAATTTTTAAAAACTTTTTAACAATTGTAAAAAATATAAAGGAAATGTAAAACTTGAAAATACAAATATAGCCATTTGATCAACTCTGTGAGTCTATTTACAAATAGGAAAGGGGTGTAAAACTTGAATTGTAAAACTTAGAAAAGGAATTGTAAAACTTAAAACTTGAAATAAAAAAGACAAACAAAACTTGAAATATACAACAAAAACAGTTGTAAAACTTAGAATGCAATTTGTAAAACATGTTTTGTAAAAATTAAGTAGAACAAACTTAGAAACTTGAACAAACTTAGAATTAAAACTTGAACTAAGCAAAGAATTGTAAAACTTAAAATAGAATTGTAAAAGTCAAACACTTGTTTTTAAACTTGTTTTACAAAACCAAAGGGATTGTAATTAAATTGTAAAACATTAAAAACAAAACTTACCCCCTCCCGTCCAAAACTAGCGCCCTTCTATCCTTCCCATCGTCAACAAAACAATCATGTACAAGCAACCCATAAAGATCATTTAATTGTTGTTCCCTTTCTACCCCATTTCTTTGACATACCCATTCATGTTCTAACGGTTCTCCAACTTGGACATTTTGAACCTAAAATTATTTTTATTTTCAATTAAAAAATCCTTTGTAAACTTGTTCAGATGTTTTCTGTCCATGTATTTTATACGAACATTGAGGCGGTTGCATATGATTATTAAGTGAGATGACTGGAGGGGGACTTTAAAATTAAAAAAATTTTTCTGGTTTAAAAAAATATTCCTTTACCTAACATCAATTTGTGCACTTAATGTCCTTTCAGGCTCCTGATAGGCACATTGAATGTTGTAGGCACGATCAACACGAGTTATGTAAAAAATAAGAAAAAATAAATAATTTTTTTTTGAAAATTTCTAGGAAATTTTCTAGAAAGTAAAAAAAACTTATAAAATTTGGATGAAAACTAACAACCACAGTGAAAGTTAATCGAGTCCCTGGAGGATCAGCCTATAAAAATTTTAAAAATTATAATAATTAAAATAATTAGAACCCTAAATATCAACTTCTAAAGATCAACACTTAATTGTAAAACATAAAAAGGAGTTGTAAAGTTTTACAAAATTTAAGCAAAATTGTAAAACTTATTAAACACAAGTTTTAAGTTTACAATTCTTTTGTTTCAAGTTTTAAAGTTTCAAGTTTTTAATTAATATAACACTACTTAAAACTTGAAACTATAAAACTTGAAACAAAAGAATTGTAAACTTAAAACTAGGGTTGTTGGCGACCGGTTATTAACCGGTACCCTCGGTTTTCGGTTATCGCCGGTTTTCGACCCCCGGTTTTCGGTTCCGGTTTTTGATTTACCCCCGGTTTTTGGTTAACCGGGACCGGTTTTTGGACATTTTTTCATCCAGAATATCCCATTAAGATGTTGTCACATTCTAACGCCTTTAAATAAATATTCTATACACTAGGAGTTGAATAATCTACAAATTTCAACAATTCGAGGAATTAAAGGGTATATGGCGAGATAAATTGGCTGTTTTTTATATTAGGAAAGTAGAAGGATTAAGGGATATCGATGATCGGTGGATCAATGATCGGGGAATATGAAGATGATAAGTTATCAAGGAAGGGCGTTGTATATCAAGGGCCCTCGATATTACCTATGACCCCTTGAACTCAAACGATATAACTCAAAATCCACCTTAATCCATCCTAATTTTCTGTTATACCATTCAATTTTTTACATCGCCGCCGGCGAAAATTTTGTGATATTAATGAACCAATCAGGCATAGTTCTTCAATTTTCAGCGTCGGGGCAAAATTTAGAGAATTATGGAAGGCTAGAAGCCAGATTTCTTCCATTTTCAGCGCCGCAGGCGAAAATTCCGAAAATTTAGGAAGGCCAAGAAGCCAAATTTCTTCCATTTTGATCGCGAGAAATTTTTGAATAATTTGAAAGGCCAATGAACTAAATTTCTTCGTTTTTTACCGCCGAAGGCGAAATTTTTGAGGATTTTGGACTGCCAAGTCGGCAGAATTTTTTCCTTCTTCAGAGCCGCAGGCGAAAATTTTGGAAGGACAAGCAGCTAGAAATCCTCCATTTTCCTAATTTTATTTACAAAGGTACTAAAAAATAAATTAAAAAATTCGGATTTTTAAAAATAATCCTCATCGGTCTGTCAAAATACCAGAAATTGAGGAAGAAACCACTGACCTTAACCACTTAACCAAACATCTCTGATATTAAAACTGGAATTTATACAATTTATCAAGAAAGAAAAGTAAAAAAATAAAAAAAAACCGAAACCGGGCGGTTTTGGTCAGCGGTTTTCGGTTATCGCCGGTTTTCGACCCCCGGTTTTCGGTTCCGGTTAATTCGCCAAAAACACCGGTTAACGGTTCCGGTTCCGGTTCGGTTAACCGTCCGCCAACAACCCTACTTAAAACTTTGTAAAACTTAAGCTTAAACTTAAAAATATAAAAGAGAGTGTTGATCTTTAGGGTTAACTTTTAAAATTATTTCCCTTAAAATACACTAACAATTCTATCCCTTCGAGTATTACACTCTCCAATAGGAACCCATAATTCTGCATAATTTTTATTATCATCAACATCTTTTAAAAGACTTCTTCGTTTCTTTAATAAAACTAATTTTTGATTATTATTTGTTGTTTCTCCAATTTTTTGTTTGTTGGGAGGAGGGGGAGGGGGAGAGGGAGGAGAGTCTTCACAGGGAGGGCAAATCTTTTTAAATTTATTAAAAATTAAAAAAATTAATTTTTTTAAAAAACCAAAGGACACTCTCCATTAACATCCGGACTTAATTTACTTCCATATCTTCTAAAAAATTGTCCATCCAACCCCGGCTTTCCAGTCAAAAAGCTTCTCCATCTCTTCAACTGTTCTGCTGAACTAGCTGAAGGGAAATTTGAGGGGATTGGAAATTGGGGGGAATTTTGGTGTTGTTTTCTTTTTTGTAATTCCTTTAAAATTTTATTTTTAAAATAAATTTTTGGGGAAAAACTTTTAATATTTGTTGTAGTGTTTCTTCATTGTAATCATCTTCCAATTCCTCTTCTGTTGCTTTATCCCCCACAGGGCTATTCTCTTCTTTTATTGTTTCGGAATTTATATTTTTCTCTTCATTTAAGGTACTCCTTTAATTATATTTAGTTAGATACCTAGAAATTCGGCACTTTTTATGGGCTTTTTAAATTAAATATAAATACCATATTCCTCTAGGGGGTCGGTTTATTAGAAGGGGTCGGTCTAATAGAGACAGTCGCACTATTAGGAAAAATACGGTAGATGGCATCAGTGCTGGGTATTAGGTGTTTAGTAGCCCATTTCCTGGGATTAAAAATCTTAGCTTCTGGATCCAGCTCCGAGGCTAGCTATCGAAGACATATGTACGTAGGCACTGGAAGTCATTCTCTAGTTTATTTTTTTTGGGTTAAAATTTGAAAAAAATTCCAGGGTCTTTTAAAATACCAGGAAAACCAAGAAAAATATGAATTCCTTCATTTACATACCTTTTTAAACATTTAGGATTATCAAATTCTCCTTTAACATAAACCCTTCCAATAAAAGGCTTTTTGGTTTTAACCTATAGAAAATTAAAAATATTGAAAAATAATTTATTTTTTGTACCTTAAAATGTACAAAATCTTTTTCACAATTAATTTGGGGGGATCCTAAATTTTGAAAAAAATATTTTTTTAAATAAAATATACCGTAAATGTTCCAATAGAAGCCCGGCTCCACTAGAAGCCCATGCCCCATTAGAAGCCCACTCAATGAGGGGTATTGAAAAATAGACGCCCAGGGCTCTATTGAAACATTTATGGTATATGTAGGTTGTCATTACCAATAATTTCATTATCTACATTTAGGGCTGCGTTGGTAGTTAATTTACTATTTTCTAATAAAATAACCTTAAAAATTAATTATTTTTAATTAAAATATTTTTTCCTTATTTTCTCCTAAATTTAATTTCTGAGAAAAGAAAATGTTGGGAATGTGAACGAACAATAATTATTTATTTATTTATTATTCTGGTCAAGGACATGAACAAAATTACTTGAAAAAAAATAAATTGATGTCCCTCTATTTTTAAAAAAAATAATTTTTTTTAAATTAATTTTTATTAAGAGAATTATGAAGAATTTTAAATTAAACTTACAAAAATGCAAAATAATAAAATTAAAATATTTGGTAATTTTATTTGTTTCCACAAAACAATTTTTTGAAGATTTTCCAGTTTGATTTTTGAAAATAAATTATTTTTAAAAATAAAATAGGCTGATGAAAATAAAATAAATTATTAAAATGTTCTCTAATTATTTTCGATTTTGAAAAAAATCATAACTTTAAAAAATAATTTAAATAATAATTTTAAATTAAAAATTTAAATAATTAAAAGACGCTATATATTTTTTAAATTTGTTCTCTCAAAATTAACCCGAAGTATCAGATAGAGCAAAATTACCCAAATTTACCCAATTATCCAGAGTTTGTACCCAAAATTTATCACAAAACTCAGAAGGCCTTTCTAGGGGACACTAATTTGGTGACCGCCCCTTTCTATAGGACACTATAACCAATCACAAAAAATTTATTTTTTGTCAAGTTTATCCCAAAATTAAATTAAAAAACTGGCAAAAAATTAAAAGTAAAGATGGATAAAAGGGTTATATATTTATTAAAGAGGAATTTTTGAGGATGGAATGAAAATAAATTTTTATACAAATGGATGTAAGGATATAAGGGTCGCGCAGAGGTTTGTTTTATTTTTTATTTTCACATACATAGGTGAAGAGTGCTAGAAGATAAAAAAAGGGAGGGAATGAAAGGATACCTTTAAAGTATTTTCTAATTTTGGAAATTGAGAAGTTTCTATTTTATGAAAAAAAAATTTTTTTTTAATTCTCCAAGAATTTAATAAACCGAAAAATGGTATGAGGGATACGAAGATTTTTGAGCATAGGCTAAGGAAAGTCTACTGCTCGAAAGTAGGAATCAGGGACGAATAGGTACCTAATCCGACTTTCCCCCCAACTTTCAGACATCTTTGAAAGAGACATAAAAATCTTGTATTAACGAGTATTTGTCAAAATTATTTATAATTTTTAACAGAACATAATTTAAAAATAAAAATTACCGTATTTGCTAAAATAATTACTCAGAGTAATTATTGTTTCAACCTTTCGCTGGGGGTGGGGTAATTAAAAGGGAGGGGATTTTTTAGAAAGGCCAATTATAACTATTTTTAAGTGGGCAATTATTTTTCGAACTCTGGCTGTAGGGGGTAATTAATAGGGGTGGGGGTAATTATTCAAGAGAGGGACATTATTTCAGCATTTACGGCAAATATTCATTTTATTCAAGACATTTTAACTCATGTAATTTTTTATATTCTCCTTTATATGCTTTAATACTTGAGAGAGCGACTTGATATAAACAAAAAAATTATAGGTTGCCCATCTTCACATTTTTCCTTGTCTTCTAACTAAAATAAAATTTTTTTTGAAATAAAAATTTTTTAAAAAATTACAGTTCCCTCAAGAAAATGATCATTTCCCCCTTCAAAACGGACAACATTTCCTCTATCGGCCGAAATTCCATTCCAAAGAAGGTCTTCAATATGAATGGCATGTACAGCTTTTGTATGCTCCATTAAAGCAGTTATTGCTTTACCGGTTACAATATATCCAGATCCGTGCATATAGTGTGGTAAATCTTTTTGTGGAAATACTTTCTTAGAAAGAAACCTAAAAATATTTATTTTGTAAATATTCTGATTTGTAAATTAATTACAATTATCAGAAACAAATAAATTCTGATTTGTAAATTAATTACAATTATCAGAAACAAATAAATTCTGATTTGTAAATTAATTACAATTATCAGAAACAAATAAATTCTGAATTGTATTACAATTCCGGATTGTTTTATTAAATTCCGGTTTGCTTTATTCTTAATTCTGATTTGTAAATTAATTAATTACAATTCACAAATTCTGATTTATAAATTAATCACAATTATCAGAAACAAATAAATTCTGATTCTGAATTGTATTACAATTCCGGATTGCTTAATTGTTTTCCGGAATTATTTCCGGTAATTTCTGATTTTTAACAATTCTATAGTTTACAATTCCGGAAATATAATTTTTAGATTTCCGGAATTGTAATTAAATTTTCAATTGTAAATTCTGAATTGTAAAATACTTAAATAAAAATAAATAATTGTAATTGTTACATAACTTTAATAATAAATACAAACCATTTACTCTCCTCATCCCTTATTGGCTTTGTATCAATCCAGCTGTAACCAAAAACACCCAACTCCGTTTTGGCTTCTTTTAATTGCTTTTTAAATTTTTTCTCAATCCAAAATTCCAATCTGTTCAAATCTATAATTGAATCATCGTCAATTTTCATTACAAATTCTGCATTAGGACAAAATTTCTGTTGCCATTGAAAAGATGCACCAGTCTAATAATTTAATTAATTTTTTTAAAAATAATTTCTAAAAAACTTTAAATTGTAATTGATCATAGCCTTCAGGTAAATTAAAATAACGAACTAAATCCCCATATTGTTCTTGTTCTTTAATTAGTATACTTTCCAATTTTTCACTATGCTCCTCATCCTTTAAGGGCCCTCCAACTACAAAACGAACTAACATATTTTTACCCTTAAAATTATTTATTTTTAAGTTCAATCTTATGTTTATAAATATTTTAAGTTCAATCTTATGTTTATAAATATTTTAAGTTCAATCTTATGTTTATAAATATTTTAAGTCCAATCTTATGTTTATAAAATTTTAAGTTTAATCTTATGTTTTTAAATATTTTAAGTTCAATCTTATGTTTATTTTAAGTTTCCGGAAATTACTTAAGTCTATATCAAGTTTGATTTTATATTGCCTTTCCGGAAAGTTTATTATAGTAGATAATAAAGTTTTATATGCTTTACATTGGGTTTCCGGAAAGTTGTTTATATTGCCTTTCCGGAGAGTTGTTTATATTATCTTTCCGGAAAGTTTTATAAGCTTTATATTATTAGATTTTCCGTAAAGTAATTTATATTATATTTCTTTAAAGTTTTTATGTTTCCGGAAAATTATTTCAAGTCAATTTTAATAATTTAATTTACCGCATCTTTAGCATAACTATATCTTATCCCCATGCGTCTTTGTAGCAATTCTCTTCTACTCATAACTAACACTAATATTTTTATTTTTTTTCCTTTACAGGCATCTATTTTTGGCTTTTCCATTTTATAATGTTTTCGAGTATTGTAAAAAGCCAATGTAAAATCAACTAAAATTTCTTGACTTTTTTCTTGACTTTTATTAGTAACAATATTTTGTAAATTGGTTAGGGTAGGTAATACATGTTTAAATTTTATAAAAAGCCATATAGAACCAAAACATAGTGTTGCGAGAAGTAATATTCGAAATATCCAAGAGAGAAGATTCCTTTAATTTTTTTCTAATTTCAAGTCTATTTTATAGTAGATTTTAATTTTTATATTAGACTTCCGGAAAGTTTATATATTCTCTAATATTTATATTAGACTTCCGGAAAGTTTTATATGTATATTCTTTAATATTCCGGAAAGTTTATATATTCTCTAATATTTATATTAGACTTCCGGAAAGTTTATATATTCTTTAATATTTATATTAGACTTCCGGAAAGTTTATATATTCTTTAATATTTATATTAGACTTCCGGAAAGTTTAATAAAAACAGTGCTTAACAAACCATGAAAATTTCCGTTTAAAAGCAACCCATTTCCGAGAAATACAAGTAGATGATCGAGTAATTAATAAAGAATTACTTTCCATTAGATATTTAAGCATTTGGAAATTATTTTAATTTTTATTTTAAATAAAATAAGAAAATAATAAATTTAAAAAGATGGGGGAAATAAATTTTGGGGGGTTTTCATTGTTGGCTAAAATTAATAAAATTTATTTTTTATATTAAATGACACGTTTATTTAATCGGTATTTGTTGTTATGTTGTTGCTCGGTTTTTGTTGCTAAAATAATATTAAAAAAATAAAAAAATTTTTAATCTAATTTAGAAAATTAATTTTTCTTCTTAATACATTTTATATCGTGTAATGTTTTGTAATTTCGCGAAAACAAATTTCGGAAAAATACAAATTGTAATTATGGGAAAATACATTCCGGAAAAAAGTACAAATTGTAATTTAGGGAAAATACATTCCGGAAAAATTACAAATTGTAATTTAGGGAAAATACATTCCGGAAAAAATTACAAATTGTAATTTAGGGAAAATACATTCCGGAAAAAATTACAAATTGTAATTTAGGGAAAATACATTCCGGAAAAAATTACAAATTGTAATTTAGGGAAAATACATTCCGGAAAAAATTACAAATTGTAATTTAGGGAAAATACATTCCGGAAAAAATTACAAATTGTAATTTAGGGAAAATACATTCCGGAAAAAATTACAAATTGTAATTTAGGGAAAATACATTCCGGAAAAAAGTACAAATTGTAATTTCGGTAAAATACATTCCGGAAAAAAGTATAATTATTGTAATTTATTATAATAAGTTCGGGTTAGACCGTCTTCATTTCGGGTTACGGGCTTCGGGTTGGCAAGAATTTCGAGTAGGGTATAGTACCTAATCCGGCTTTTCCCTCAACACGTGACATCTCTGAAAGAAACAAAAATCGTGTTTTACCGAGTGTTTGTCAAAATTATTTTAAAAATCTTAATTTTAAACAGAACATAATTTAAAAATAAAAATTAAATATTCATTTTATTCTAGACATTTTATCTCATGTAATTTTTTATATTCTTCTTTATATGCTTTAATACTTGAGAGAGCCACTTGATATAAACAAAAAATTATAGGTTGTCCATCTTCACATTTTTCCTTTTCTTCTAACTAAAATAAAAAAATTTTTTGAAATAAAATTTTTTTTAAAAATTACAGTTCCCTCAAGAAAATGATCATTTCCCCCTTCAAAACGAGCAACATTTCCTCTTTCAGCCAAAATTCCATTCCAAAGAAGATCTTCAATATGAATAGCATATGCCGCTATTGTCTCCTTCATTATAGCAGTTATTGCTTTACCGGTTACAATATATCCAGATCCGTGCATATAGTGCGGCAAATCTTTTTGTGGAAATACTTTCTTAGAAAGAAACCTGAAAATATTTTTTACATAACTCTAATAATACAAACCATTTATCTTTCTCATCCCTTACGGGCTGAGTATTAATAATGCTGTAACCAAAAACACCCAACTTCGTTTTGGCTTCTTTTAATTGCTTTTTAAATTTTTTCTCAATCCAAAAATCCAATCTGTTCAAATCTATAATTGAATCATCGTCAATTTTCATTACAAATTCTGCATTAGGGCAAAATTTCTGTTGCCATTGAAAAGATGCACCAGTCTAATAATTTAATTAATTTTTTTAAAAATAATTTCTAAAAAACTTTAAATTGTAATTGATCATAGCCTTCAGGTAAATTAAAGTAACGAACTAAATCCCCATATTGTTCTTGTTCTTTAATTAGTATTTTTTCCAATTTTTCACTATGTTCCTCATCCTTTACGGGCCCACCAACTACAAACCGAACTAACATATTTTTCCCCTTAAAATTGTTTATTTTTAAGTTCAATCTTATGTTTATGAACATTTTAAGTTCAATCTTATGTTTATGAACATTTTAAGTTCAATCTTATGTTTATGAACATTTTAAGTTCAATCTTATGTTTATGAACATTTTAAGTTCAATCTTATGTTTATGAACATTTTAAGTTTAATCTTATGTTTATAAATATTTTAAGTTCAATCTTATGTTTATTCTAAGTTTCCGGAAATTTCTTAAGTCTATATCAAGTTTTATTTTATATTAAATTTCCGGAAAGTTTATTATAGTAGATAATAAATTATATGCTTTATATTGCCTTTCCGGAAAGTTGTTTATATTGCCTTTCCGGAAAGTTTTATAAGCTTTATATTATTAGATTTTCCGTAAAGTTATTTAGGTATATTATATTTCTTTAAAGTTTTTATGTTTCCGGAAAATTATTTCAAGTCAATTTTAATAATTTAATTTACCGCATCTTTAGCATAACTATATCTAATCCCCATGCGTCTTTGTAGTAATTCTCTTCTACTCATAACCAACACTAATATTTTTATTTTTTTTCCTTTACAGGCATCTATTTTTGGCTTTTCCATTTTATAATGTTTCCGAGTATTGTAAAAAGCCAAAGTAAAATCAACTAAAATTTCTTGACTTTTTTCTTGACTTTTATTAACAACAATATTTTGTAAATTGGTTAGGGTGGGTAATACATGTTTAAATTTTATAAAAAGCCATATAGAACCAAAACATAGTGTTGCGAGAAGTAATATTCGAAATATCCAAAAGAGAAGATTCCTTTAAATTTTTTTTCTAATTTCAAGTTTATTTTTAATTTTTATATTAGACTTCCGGAAAGTTTATATATTCTCTAATATTTATATTAGACTTCCGGAAAGTTTATATATTCTCTAGTATTTCTTTCACAAATTCTGTGAGGGTGTCTATACATTTTTCCGGAAAGTTTAATAAAAAAGTGTTTTTAACAAACCATGAAAATTTCCGTTTAATACAAGTAGATGATCGAGTAATTAATAAAGAATTACTTTCCATTAGATTTTTAAGCATTTGGAAATTATTTTAATTTTTATCCTTATTTTTGATTTTTATTTTACATAAAAATAAGAAAATAATAAATTTAAAAAGATAGGGGAAATAAATTTTGGGGGGGGGGGGGGGTGTTTTCATTGTTGGCTAAAATTAGTAATTATTTTTTATATTAAATTGACACGTTTATTTAATCGGTATTTATTGATATGTTAAAGAAAATGTAGAAAATGTTTGATAAAAAATTTTTAAAAAAGTAGATGATAAATTATAAACAAAAATAATTTTTAAAAATAACCTAAAATAATACTAAAAAATATAAAAAAATTTTTAATCTAGCATAGAAAATTAATTTTTCTTCTTAATACATTTTATATCGTGTAAGGTTTTATAAGCTTTAATATATTCTTCTAAAGATTTAAATGATCTAAAAAATGAAAAAACTAATGGGTGCCCTTCTTCACATTTTTCTGTCTTTTGTAGCTGGAAAAATTCAAAAATTAAAATAAATTTATATTTTTAAATTATTAGTAGAAATTCCGAAGATTATCGGTCAGATACACCATTTTAAAATAAAAACTTCTGAGAAATCTAGACCAGCCGCCCACTACGGACAAGTTCAATCTTATAAGTTTAATATTTTTTTAAGTTTAATCTTATAAATACTTTAAGTTTTCGGAAATTTCTTAGTCTATATCAAGTTTGATTTTATATTAAATTTCCGGAAAGTTTATTATATGTAGTAGATAATAAAGTTTTATATGCTTTACATTGGGTTTCCGGAAAGTTGTTTATATTCCCTTTCCGGAAAGTTGTTTATATTGTCTTTCCGGAAAGTTGTTTATATTGTCTTTCCGGAAAGTTGTTTATATTGCCTTTCCGGAAAGTTTTATATGCTTTACATTTTCGCTTCTAACATATGGGTAAATTCCCATTTAATTAATTTTTTAAATTTAAAAATTAATAGGTATAATTATATTACATTAAATTGCCCCCTAAAATGTACAGAATAATCAATTCTAGAAACATTAGCAATTTCAGCCAAAGTTCCAGTAAATAAAATATCATCCATATTAAATCCAATAGCTTCTTTTGTGTGTTGCATAATTAATTTAATTGCTTTTCCATTTCCAAAATAGCTAGCTCCTTGCATGTAACGAGGAAATAGATTACCGGGAAAATGCTCATAAGGAACATACCTTTAAATAAAAAATTATTTTTAAAAATATTTTAAGAAGCATTTTTATATAAAGTTTCCGGAAAGTATTATATTTTACTTCCGGAAAGTTTTTAATTCATAACAAGTTTAATTATCTACCACTTATTTCTTGGGTCCCTTATTGGCTTTGATTTTCCATAAACAACCCCAAAAAATGCTGGGCCTTTTTCCGAATCTTTCCTAGCTTTCTTGTCAATCCAAAATTCCAATCTAGGTAAATCAACAATTGTATCGTCATCTGTTTTCATAACAAATTCTGCATTCGAACAAAATTTTTGTTGCCATTGATAGGCTGCGCCCATCTTTTGAATTAAATTTAAAATTTAAAAAATTAATTTTAAAAACTTTAAAATGTAAATTATTATAGCCATCTTCAATACTATAACGAATTAAATCCCCAAAAACTTTTTGTTCTTCTTGTAATTTATTTTCTAATAATGTACTGTTTTCTTCCTTTAATTTTGGTCCACCAATAACAAAGCGAATAATTATTCCTTCATGCTTAAGTTTATAAAATTCAAGTTCAAGCTTGAAGTTAATTCAAGTTTATTTTTATGCGTTTCCGGAAAGTTTATTTTATTAAGTGAGTATAAGTATGTATATTATATTTTTATATTAGTTTTCCGGAAAGTTTTAATTCCAAGTTTATTTTAAATTTATTAATATATGCAAGTTTCCGGAAAGTTTTTTTATTACGAATTTATACTAGCCTCTATTTTTATATTACGTTTCCGGAAAGTTTTATATATTTCAGGTTTAATTTTTAATTTACCCCATCTTTTGCCCAACTTTTTCTAATTCCCATTCTTTTATAAAAAGTTTCTCTTCTACTCATAATTAACACTAATAATTTTATTTGTTTTCCTTTACAAGGTTCAATAAAAGGTTCTTCCATCAAATAATCTTTTTGAACATTTGAAAAAGTTATTGTAAAATTAATTAATTTGTTTGAATTTATTGAAAATAAAGGATATTTAAATTCTTTAATTATTATCCTCAGAAAAATTAGAAAAATTGACAAAATTAGCAAAATACGGAATAGACGAAATAGAAGATTACTAAAAATATAATAATTGTGATAATTAATTAAAACAAACCATGGAAAGTGTATTAGTGAAATTCTTTTTTTACCCATATTCGAAAATATTTTTTAAAAATAAAATTTATTTTAAAAAATATTTTTCAGTCTTTTTATTATTTTAGGGATATTTTAAATATATCATTTTTAAATTTAATAATAAAGCTGTTAAAGATTTGCATAAAAAATATTTTTTAATAATAAAAATGACAAGAAAAAAATAAGAAAATTTATTTGACACGTTTTGGGTAGGTAAACTTTAAAAAATAGGTAATAAAGGTATAAAATACATAAAAAGCATAAGATAATCAAAAAATAAATTTATTTTTTTAAAAGATTTTTATGTATTTCTTTAAAAAGACTAAAAATCACTTCGGGTATATAGTTTTAAAATTGAGAATGCCTTTTAGTCAAAAATTTTGAAAATAATAAAAATATTTTTTGAGTTATTTAAAATAAAGTTTTTTTGAAAAATATAAATAAATATTGTAATTTAACTGCAAGACAATGAATGCATTTCTTTATAAGATTCAATATATTCTTCTTTATTTTGGAATTGTTTAAAATAAGTAAGAACTGTTGGAATTCCACCTTCACAATGTTCGTCATCAATTAACTTAAAAATGATTTGATTAAAAAGATTTTAAAAAGAAGTACAAATTGTAATTTGGGAAAACACAATCCTGAAAAGTACAAATTGTAATTTAAGGAGAATACATTCCGGAAAAGTACAAATTGTAATTTCGGGAAAATACATTCCGGAAAAAAGTACAAATTGTAATTTAAGGAGAATACATTCCGGAAAAGTACAAATTGTAATTTCGGGAAAATACATTCCGGAAAAAAGTACAAATTGTAATTTAGAGAAAATACATTCCGGAAAAGTATAAATTGTAGTTTCTGACGATACAGATTTGTAATTAATTATATCTCCGGAAAACTCACATTATTTCCCCCTCTAAAATGAGTCCAAGCATAATCAATTCTAGAAACATTAGCAATTTCAGCCAAAGTTCCAGTAAATAAAATATCATCCATATTAAATCCAATAGCTTCTTTTGTGTGTTGCATAATTAATTTAATTGCTTTTCCGTTTCCAAAATAGCTAGCTCCTTGCATATAATTGGGGAATGTTTTGCCAGGAAAATGCTCAAAAGAAACATACCTTTAAATAAAATTAAAAAAAATTATTTTTGAAGAAAAAAGACCATTTATGGCCTGGATTTCTAATTGGTGGTAAATGCTCCAATCTCATTCCAAAGAAAGCAGCTTTATTTGGTATTTGAGCAATGTCGTTATTAAATTTTTTCTCAATCCAAAATTCTAATCTAGGTAAATCAACGATTGTATCGTCATCTGTTTTCATAACAAATTCTGCATTCGAACAAAATTTTTGTTGCCATTGATAGGCTGCACCCATCTTTAAATTAAATTTAATAAATTATTTCAGAAGAAAAATAACTTTAAAATGTAAATTATTATAACCATCTTCAATATTATAACGAATTAAATCTCCAAAATTTTTTTGTTCTTCTTGTAATTTATTTTCTAATAATGTACTGTTTTCTTCTTTTAATTTTGGCCCACCAATGACAAAGCGAATAATTATTCCTTCAAGCTTAAGTTTATAAAATTCAAGTTCAAGCTTGAAGTTAATTCAAGTTTATTCTTATGCGTTTCCGGAAAGTTTATTTTATTAAGTATAAGTATATTCTATTCTTATATTAGTTTTCCGGAAGGTTTTAATTCCAAGTTTATTTTAGTAATATTTTTAAACATTGTTTATTGTAAATTTCCGGAAAGTTTATTTTATACTTGATTTTACTTTTATTTGTATATTTTCCGGAAAGTTTATATTTCAAGTTTATTTTAATACATATATATTTCTATTTTCTATTTATATCAAGTTTCCGGAAAGTTTATTTAAATATTTAATTTACCAGATCTTTTGCCCAACTTTTTCTAATTCCCATTCTTTTATAAAAAGTTTCTCTTCTACTCATAATTAACACTAATAATTTTATTTGTTTTCCTTTACAAGGTTCAATAAAAGGTTCTTCCATCAAATAATCTTTTTGAACATTTGAGAATTTTATTGTAAAATTTAAAAATTTATTTTTTGAGGGAATAATTGTTTTGTTAGTTTTAAAAACGAATAAAGGTTCTTTAAATTGATAAAATATAAATTTAATAAAAATAAAACAAATAATTGAAGTAAATAATATACGGAAAAAACAAGAACGAGGATTCCTTTAAAGAAAATTAATTTTTAAAAAAATTTTTAAGAAAGACAAACCATAAATAATTATTTAAAGTAAATCTTTTTTGAGGTAAAATTAAAATTCCTCCCTCACTTTTATGAATAAATCCATTAACCATTATTTAAATTAATTAATTTAATTTAATAATAATTTAATAAAAAAATAAATTTAAAAAAATTTTTTTAATAAAAAAATTTTAATTACTTAAAAAAGAAAATATTTATTTATTTTTGGGAACTTGTAAACTAAGCGAAATTAATCTACTAAATGTAAATCTTTTAATTTTATTAAATAAAAAATTAAATTAAGAAAAAAATTTTTTTTTGCCAAATTATGGACTAGCTTATTTGATTAGCTTTTAATATTTTTTAAAAATAGAATACTCTTACTTAGGTATATTTTAGATAAGTTTAGTATTTAAATTTTATTTTTGGAAAATATTTTTTTCTATTTTTTAATTGTAAAAAAAATGCAAAACAAAAACAAACTACAAAGAAACTACAAAAAAATATATTCAAATTACAATTCCGGAAAAGTTAAAAACAAATTGTAATTCTGAAAGGTGTAATAAATTTGTACAAGAAAAGACAGGAATTACAATTCCGGAAGATCAAGTTTCCGGAAAGTTCGAGTTTCCGGAAAGTTTATTTAAATATGTACCTATTTAATTTACCCCATCCCACCTGGTAGTAGATACACATTTGTAATTTGTAATTGCTTTATTTATGTGTGTCTAACACCCTTTTGTTTAGATAAATAAAACAAAAGTAAAAACAAAAAATATATAAATTAATTCCGGAACCAAATTTTCTTTAAAAAATCTCAAAAAAATTTTAAAATTAAAAAAAAAATTTTTTTTCTATTAAAAAAATTTAAAAATCGAAGATAAACTTAAAAATTGATTAATCTCGCTATCCAAACATTTACTATATAAAACCCAAACCTTCTATTTTATATTTAATTTTAAAAATTAAAAAAAAAGAAATACCCACCCTTTTTAAATAAAAAAAGGGCTGTTTAAATATTTTAAAAATATTAGCGGGAAAAAAGGGGAAAAGGTGGGTGATAAACAAAAAAGAGGGAAAATTGATAAATAAAAGATTTTCATATTTTTTATTTAAAGCTTTAAATAATTTTTCTTTGTTTAGAAGGAAAAAAACAATTTTGGACTAAAATGGATAAAAAAATTAGAGAAAATAACAATAGTAAACATGTGAATAAACCTTAAATAAAATTAATATCCAAAAAAATGTACTTAAAAGTTAATTCCTAATTTTTTTTCTGATTGACATCCCTGTTTCCCATGCTTATTTTTTCTAATTGTTGAAGAAAAATTTTTTTTTCTTAATACATATTAAAAAAACAAATTTATTATTCATTTTTATCAAGTAGGTAATAGAGATCGGCCTGGATCTGGATCAAGGCCTGGGTTCTTCCTGTACCCAGAATTCAGGCCCAGGCATTTTTTTGACCTTCCTGGGTTTTTCATGGGCCTGAGTTTTTCCTAGAACCTAGGAACAGGCCCAGGCTTTTCAAAAATTCCAATCTCTAGTAGGTAATCAATCCAAATTCAGTTTTAAAAAATTTTTATACAAAATAATTCTTAAAAAATGAGCAATTTCTGGGAGTAAAAATGAGATAGAGATACTATTGCTTTTTTAAAAAATCATTTTATGACTAGAATAAATTTTTTATTTTTTCTTAAATGCTTTTTTCTTTCTTTGTATTTTCACCCACTAATTTCCCCTATTCTACTGATCTTTTTTAATATTATTTTCAACTTGCGGCGAGGCTGGCTGTGTTGTAGTTGTTGCATTAGGTATTGCTGTTGTTGTTGTTGTAGAAGTTCCATTAGATTCCAATTTATTTACTCCCCCAACATTTCTCCTTTCTTGGGAAGCTACTACAGCTCTTTAAAAATTAAAAAATAATTTTTAAAAATTTTTTTATAAAAACCTAGTCAAAGCATCCCAAATTCCACCCATAAAAACTGCACAAAATAAATTTTCAAAAGGCAGTAAAGGATCAGCCACATTTAACAGAAGAGCGCTAAGTTTGAAATAGACAAAGAAAAGTAAAAGACCCTAAGAAAAAAAAATTTTATTTTATTTTTTTGACCTTAAAATTTTGTTAAAAAAATTTCAAAAAATTTTTAAAAATTAAAAAAAAATTTTTCCTTACCAAGTAACTTATTTCATGTGGCAAACTAATAAAAATTCCACTCTTCTCAAATGTCAACAGAACAGAAGCAATTACACAAGCCTTTGTAGTGAAGGTTGGTCGAAGTATTTCACTGTGTGTTGGGGCCCAAACTCCTCGAATTAACTGAGAAATAATTAAAATTTTTTTAAAGATTCTAAAAAACTTGTTCAAATATTCGAATAATTCCAGAGCCTGCTCCCTTTGCCGTTCCAATAAGAATATGTATTAAATGAGCATTTGGATAGAGTTTTATTGCATAGAGGACACCATGATTTATCTAAAAAAAGTAAAAAGTAAATTATGAAAGAAAATTTTATTTGTCAATTGTGCCAAAAAAGAGACAGCAACTTTTATATTTCCAAATAAAAAGTATTTACAATTCTCACATAAAATCAATAATCAAAGCAAGAGAAGAAAAATCAGTACTGAATATTGGGCATTTTAAGGCTGCGGTTCCTACCTTTTTCAAATCTTGTATGAGGGGATGGTTTCAATAAGCCTCAATCCTGGAAGGAATTACATAAACTAGATCCCGGAGCCATCCTCAGCACTGGGAGAAGTGTCTTTTCCTGGAGGTATAAAATCCAATAATCCCGAGAGAAAAAATATTATAAAGTTGCGGACAAACGTTTTGCGGGCATTTTCAGAAAATTTAAAAAAGTAACCAATTATTTGATAAATTTCTTAAAAACTAACCTTATAAACACGTTGACATTCCTTCATTATACTCAAAATAATTTTTATAGGCATAAATTTAGCAAGTTTGTATACAAGGTCAAAAGGTGAATAAAAGACCAAATACCAAATTAAAGTTGCCTAAAAAATAAATTTTTATTTTAGAAAAAACAAAAACCAATAAAATATCCTCTTGTTTTTTAAATACAGCAATGACTGGCTCTCCCAACAAAAAATTGGCTAAAAATGATCCAGCAAAACAAACAACCATTGAAGAAAGCCAACAACTGAGAGGATGACGACGCGAAAATGCTGTGCAATTGGGGCCGAGATCATCGCGGACAGCCAAAACCATCTGAAAAGAAAGGATAAAAATAGGAGGGAGGGGGAGAAGCTCACAGGGGGAGGTGATTCGAGGGGTCAGGGGGAGATGGTTCGAAGACATAAAAATTCAAAAAAATTTCGTAAAGTCCGTCAACAATGCCCTACTGACAACCCAAAAATTATTCCCCATCTTCTATTAAAAAAATAACAAAACCAACCAAAATATAATGGGCAGCGTCAAAGTACGGATACATTTTTAAACGTTGAGCAGAATAACCAGCGCCAATTAAAATTTCGTGATCCATGCGAAGAGAGCTCGGCCATTTCAAACGCATTTTTATTAATAAAAATGTGCACGTAGGCACTCCTAAATTAAAAAAAAATTAGAAGGATTAAAAAAAAAATTTTCTGAAAAATTTTCTATTTTGAAAAATATTTTTAATAATTTTTTTTGTTTAAAAAGAATTATGAAATAATTTCTAAAAATTTCCCCTCTCAAAATTGCCCTTTGAAAGAGGAAGATCAATTTAAATCAATCAATAAAAATATTATTTGCTTCATCTTTTTTATCCGCTTTCTCAAGAGCAAAAATCTAGAGAAGCAAGTTTTAAAAAGTTCAAAAATAAATTGAAAGAAAACTAAACTTTCCGGAAAGAGAAACAAATAATTTGTAAAAACTTATTTTACAAATTGTAAAACTTGAATTATTAAATACAAGTTTATTTTATATGTTTCAGGAAATTTAAATATAAACTTGAAATTCAAGTTTCCGGAAAGTTTTTATTTACCATTTGTAAAACTTATTCAGAATTGTAAATAAAAACTTTCCGGAAACTTGAATATTCAAGTTTATATTTAAATGTCCGGAAACATATAAAATAAACTTGAATTTAATAATTAAAGTTTTACAATTTGTAAAATAAGTTTTACAAATTGTAAATAAAATGAGAATAAAATAAAATATTTTGTTTGTTTTTTAAAAACAATTAATTGTATAAAATTTAAAAATATATAAACATTTATTCTTTTTAAATGAAAAAAAAATTAGCAGGAAAATATTAAAATTTGTGTAAAATTATTTTAAGTATCTAAAAATGTCAAAACAAACTTTTAAAAATTAAAAAAATCCCCAAAAAATTAAAAAAATATTTTTTTATTAAAAAATATTTTTTTTATAAATTAAAAAAATATTTTTTTATTTGTTTTTATACATTTTTAAGACACTTTAGAATTAAAAAAACAATCTCTTTTTACGGCTAAAATTTTTTTTCTTTACAATTGAAAAATCAAGATGATTTTTAGAATAATTGGCAAAAAAATGAAAAAATCAAAAGTGTATTTTTTAAATTTTAAAATAAAAATTTTTTGGTCGGGAGAGATTTATATAAGATGTGTTTTTTGATTGTGTTTGGTGGTAGATGAATGAAGTCATTTTAATTTAATTATTTTTTTGTTTTGTAAAATTTAAAAATTGTTTTCTCAAAATATATATATGTCCATAATTGAGGGAGTTAAAACATTAATTTAAAAAAAATTTCTTCTTTTTAAAATTAATTTTAATACCCAAATTTAAATATAAGGAATGTGTCCACACTAACATGCTTTTCTTTTTTTATTGTCATTAATTGTAAGTTGTCTTTCTGTGTTTCATAGAGGTCCGAGTACCTTTAAAAAAACATTTTTTAATCAAATTTGTTTGCATTAGAGATCGGCCCGGAGCTGGATCAAGACCTTGATTCAAGATCAAGACATTTTTGAGTAAATGTCCGCGACTAAAGGTCAAGAATCTGGTAAAGGTCTACACCCAAAATCAAGATTTTTAAATCTTTCTATCTCTAGTTTTTATTAAATTTAAACTAAAAACCTGGCTAATCCCTATTCGCCAAAAATAGATTAGTCGATAAATCAGAAAAAAGAAAAGAGACAACAAAGCAACCAAAAAGGCCCACATAAAAAAAGTATCTTGTCCATTTGAAATTGTTAACTAGTAAATAAATAATTTTAAATTTTGTTTAAAAGAAAAACTCTTACAATTAAACCAATCAAAAATAGGCTAACCAAAAACAGTCCAATCGAGTTGAGAATACAACGAGAACGGGCAAAAGGAGTTCCGACAGAAGAACTGAAATTAAAAAAATCTTTTTTTTTAATTGCAATTGTATGTAAACAAGCTAGGGAGGTTTTCTAATTTTGAAGACTTTTTATTTTTTAGAGAAAAGTTAGTTTTAAATCCGAACCTTGAAGGTCAAAAATCAAACAAAAAACAAGGTATGATTTTGTTTGATTTTGCAAAAACAAACAATGATTTTGCCTTGACCCAAGGCCAAGAATCTAGTTAAGGTCCTCAACCAATATAAGTAATCAAGGTTTTTTAGTTTTCCGATCCTTAGAAATAGTGTCTTAAAATGCTTAAAACTGACAAAATGTTCGATAAAAAATATTGGAAATTTAAAAATTTTTAAACCTTTTTCTGCAATGTGGACAAATAGCCAATTGATTGTTAAGTGTGTTAAACATAAATATTTCTTGGCAATAAGCGCATTGAACACGGCAAGTGCCTACAGGTGCTCGAATAGCAGTACCGGGAATTCCAGCATTTGGAGGTCCACTACTATGAAAAAATTGAAAAATTAGGTAAATTTAAAGAAATTGATAATTTTTGACCATTATGAGTCTTTTTTTAGATAATTAATCATGTAAGAAAAATTAAATAGAAACCTGGCTAAAGTAATCACACGTCGGCAATTTTGTCTAGGACAAGCAATTCGAGTAGATTTAGCTCTACATACAAGCAGACAATTACAAGGACATCTCACATATTTTTTGCCAGGCGGAGCTGGGCGAATTGGTGTGACCTAAATAAGTGGAAAGTTTGTAAAAAATGAGTCCACAAATTTAAAATTAAAAAACCTCGTTACATTGCAAACAACGAACAACATGTTGTCCAGTCTTTCCGTCCAAAACTATCTCAGATTCACAAACACGGCATTGAACTGTTGGGCCTAAAAGAATTTTTAAAGGAGGAAAAAGTTTAAATTGTGGAGTTGGGGGAAGTTAAATTAAGGAGTCCACCCTCTCGCTGGCTACGTGCTTGGAGTGCCGGAAAATTGGGCTCTGGAAAATTGGGCTCCAAAATTTTTCGGAAAATCGGGCTCTAACTTTTCGGAAAATTGGGCTCCAGCGGAAATTTGGGCTCTGCGTGAAAAAAACGGAAAATTGGGCTCCAATTTTTTAGGCGCGGGGAATTGTGGGCGTCAGAGTGAATTTTTGGATTTTAACGATAAATGACACAAAATCAAACAACGTAAACCTATGGGCGTCGGCGAGGCGCTTGTGCAAAATCCCGCGCTTCGCGCGGGATTTTGCGGCACGCGCTTCGCGGGAGTCAACGGTCGCTGGGTTCTACAACAGTAACATAAACCTATTCCTTTTACTGATTTTCAGCTTTGAAATGCCGACCTACCCACTAAGTAACAGTAAAAAATAGTTATTCCAGATATTTTTCGAATAAATCTAAAAATTCACTCTGACGCCCACAATTCCCCGCGCCTAAAAAATTGGAGCCCAATTTTCCGTTTTTTTCACGTAGAGCCCAAATTTCCGCTGGAGCCCAATTTTCCGAAAAGTTGGAGCCCAATTTTCCGAAAAATTTTGGAGCCCAATTTTCCAGAGCCCAATTTTCCGGACACCACGTGCTTGACCCAAAGTTTCCAGGATTTAATCTTCAGGTCAGCTAAAAAACCAAAAATGGTTGACCCCTGGACCATCTCAAATAAAGACCAAAATTTGGCAATAAGCTGACCCTGTCCTGTATAAAATTAAAAACAAACCCGCATAACCAGAAGTATCTTCACTATCGTCAAAAGTAGAATTGTCATGAGCTTCAGTATTTATTGTAACCGTTGGAGTTGCTAAAAGTTGATGAGTGTTTGTGGGTGAACCTGTAGTTGTGTTGGTAAGTTGCACTGGATTTTGAAGTGGAGGGTAAAGCTCGCCTCCAGTAACTGGCTAAACAAAAAAAAACAATAAGAGGGAATGAACGCATGTTGCCATTGAATGCCTCCACCATTTTTATCAACATAATTTTTTTTTATTTTAAAGTTAGCTAGGGAACTAGAGGAATTCAATGGGTATAACGGTGAATTTGGAGGGATTAAAGGGGATATTGACTAAACTAGAGCTATGGACACAATACCGGACCAACGACACTAAAATGCAGAGCCGTGTACTTCGGGCACTTATCCCCATAGACCAAAATGGGGAACTTATATACTTTACACTTAGGTACGCTTTTTTTAGCAACGTCCTTTTTCTTTCGTTTTTCATCAATCAACCATAATTTGTATGGAATGGTCAGCCTTTCTTTCTCCCTTTTTTCCTTTTCCATCATTATTCAGCTCATAATTTGTATTTTTAAAATTTATGATATACCTAAGTATGAATTAAATCTGTTTTAGATGTACAAAAAGGTCAGTGAATACCAAACTTATTTCTCAAAACGCAGACCCATGTACTTATTATCATTTTTAAAATTGAAATAGTTCAAAATAAGAATATTGATTTACATGTTAATTTCAAATTTTAGTGAAAATGTAAAGAAAAATTGATCTTCTCCTTGTACATCTCTCTTATTGAGCATGCCACAGGGAAAATTAAGTGAAATCAAGGAAGAAAAAAAAGTTGACCATTCCATACAAATTATGGTTGATTGATGAAAAAGGAAAGAAAAAGGGCATTGCTAAAAAAAGCGTACCTAAAGTATATAAGTTCCCAAAATGGTATAGACATTTAGGGATGGGCCCGCAACAAATTAAAAAGAAAACCTCAACTTCTCTGCCAACATTCATTCTATTATTGTCAAAATTTCTTGGAGGAGCTACCTGATAGTCATCTACCGAATGGTCATCATTATTAGAAATTAAACGTGCAGACTCATCATCATAATATAAAAATGGCTGTTGTTGTTGATTGGAAGATGAATTTTCTAAATTATCAACATGCCGTCCTTCTCCATTATTTTTTGATGTCATTGAAATTTTAAAAATTAAAAAAATTCTGAAAAATTTTTTAAGAAAATTTAACAGAAAAATTTAAAAATAAATTCTTAAAAACGAAAAACTTTTTGCAGAAGATTAACAGTTAACTTCCAGTTTTTTGACTGATTGCTGAGACTCAAATTACCCAGACATGTGAAAATTCTACAAAAATCACAGTGCCCACTCTCATTTAGCAACAAAACGACCGAGCTCGATTGCCCGTTGTGCCCTAGCCGATTCATTGCCAGAAACCGTATTTGATTATTCTCTCACTTAAATCCCCCTATAAAAGCACAATTAAGCTCATTAACTTTCTTCACTTTAAATCTTCCAAAATAATCATTTGCTCGAGTGTGCAGTCTCCTCATTATCCTTCGCTCAACAAAAGAAAAAGGAAATATGCCATCGTGGAGTGAAATCTTCTTTGTTGCGTTTGTGTTTGCAACAGGATATGTAAGTGTTTTCTTTCTCCTTTTTCTCTCAAAAAAAATTTATTTTCTCTAGATCATTGGCTATTTCGAGCTGCTGAAGATTGTTGTTGTCAAAGAGGGACGCAAAAAGAAACCTTCACATGGAACTCCCGGTAGAAGCGACCATAGAATTGAACAGAGACGTCGAGACGACAGTTTGTTCCAAGAAATGGGAGGGTCAAACGTTGAAGGGATATAAGAAGAGAGGATATATATAATGTGTTCTAATGATGTGATAAGATTAATTTTCTGTTTGTATGTTAATGTATTGGGTGATTTGTAATATAATCGTGATTGTGTGTAAATGTACCAATTTTGTCGATAAAGCATGTATTTTTAAGTAGAAGGTAACAAATTGCAGTCCGACAACTTCGAACCCTACTCTAAAATACAATTAAGCCTCGAGTAAAACTTACTTAGCCCCATGCTGTTCACTTGTCCTCTGACCACTTGTTCTTGTATCCAATTGTCTTTGTGTCCAATTGTCTTATTGTCCAATCGTCTTTGTGTCCATTTGTCTTTGTGTCCAATTGTCGCTGTGCCCAATTGTCGTTGTGTCCAATCGTCGTTGTGTCCAATTGTCTTCCAGTCCAATTGCCATTGTGTCCAATTGTCTTTGTGGCCAATTGTCTTCCAGTCCAATTGTCTTTGTGGCCAATTGTCTTCCAGTCCAATTGCCATTGTGTCCAATTGTCGTAGTGTCCAATTGTCCTCCGACCAAGAGTCACAATTTCCGATTGTCTTGCTAGTTCGATACTTGTTGTGACTATCGATATAGTCACAATTTCCGATTGTCTTGCTAGTTCGATACTCAAACTGACGATACTCAAAATGTTATCTGAAATATATTTGAGTCCTCCCTAGTCAGAGGAAAAGCTGTTGAGTCCTCGTAGGAGATTGTAATAAGACGTAAAACAAATAACCGAGTGAGAATGTAAACAAAAACTGTCGAGAGTTGAGTAAGAAAAAATATTGCTTAATTTATTTCTTCCCAAATTTATCGATTTGTACAAAATTTCAATTTTAATTTCCTTTAAATTTAAAAATTAAAAATTAAAAATTCCACTAAAAAATGTCTTTCCACCCGTACCATTCAGAAGAGTCTCCTCCCCCTTTAAAAATTTCTTTTAATATGGATATTCGAACAAATGGGGCGAAAGAAGGATTAATTATTTCTACTGGAATAATTTCAGGCACACCACAAATGTTTAATGGAATTTTTGGGGGTAAAAGAAAGAATTATAAATGAGAAATTTAAAAATAATTTTTTAAAGTAAATAATCCCTCTCCTTGGCCAGCAGTACTTTCTCCACCATCGTCTGTTTCAACTTTACCCCTAAATGATAAAAATAATTTTGAGATAAACCCTAATAAAAATTTGAATGAGTCATCTAAGGAACAATCAAAAATGGTAATTAATTGTTTATTTTTTATGGCTAAAAAAATTTGCGGACAGAAATTTTTTGGGGGGGAAAATTTTTTGCGGACAGAAAATTTTGCCGCACTTTTGTTGCGGATAAAAAAATTTTTTTAATTAAAAAACATATCAGTTATCTCCCTTGATGATTTCACTCAATGAGGTAGATGTAAATAAACAACAGCAACAACCATTAAATCAACAACAATTAAGTAGTTCTTCTTCCCCAACAAAAAGAGAGGGATGTTGCTATTCACCGCCCCCATTGTTGTTTGATTCAACAACAACCACAACTTCTTTAGAAATTTTTCGTCCAGACTCGGCATCGTCCTCTGCTGACTTTTACCAATTGCCTAAAGCACCGCTTAGTCAAGAATTAATTAGAGAACCTCCAGTTGTGTTGGTGCCTGTTATGGGAGAGGAATACGAATTTAACGAGAAGTAGGGGAGTTTTTAAATTATTAAAATTTGACCTAATTTAACATTCTTGTGTCTGAAAATTGTAATTTATAATGAGTGTATCTTAAATATCGCTTAGGTAGTCCACCTAAACAGTGATATCTTGTAGGAAATTTTTTGCGGACAGAAGATTTTGTCCGCAATTTTTTTGCGGACATTTATTTGACGATTTTTCTGAATCCTATAAAGAGGTCCAACTATTGTTTCAAAAAATTTTAAACAAAATTAAAAAATTAAATACTATTTTTCAAAAGGTCAGAAACTCATTTTTCCCCCAAAAGTGCCAATCCCAAAAATATTAACAAAACAACAAAACCCCCTCCAGCTTCACAACAAAAAAGTGTTCATTGGGGAGAGTCTGTTTGTATACAACCTTCCCCTATTCCTTCAACATCAACAACACCTTCATCTCCTTCCTCACTTCCATCCTCTACAAATTCATTTCGTTCTTCTCAACGTTTTCCAGTTCAAATGGAAGAGGAAATAAACAAACAACAGCCTTTTAATAAACCTGAAATTCAGCCTAATAGAGAAGGTTTGGAGGAAAAAATTAACTTGAAAAATTTAATTATTAAAATAAGTAAAGAGACACCTAACTACAGTAGTTATTAATTTAAGACACTTCAGAAAGGTGACCGTTTTGCGAACTTTGCGGATTTTTTGAAAATTTTTTGCGGACTATTTTTGCGGATTACTTTTTGCGGACTTTTGAATATCATTAAATTAAATTCAAATTTAATGTATCCAACCAATCCATTCAACCACAAATTTTATTCAAATTTAATCAGTCGATTTTGATATGATTAAACGTATCTTGTCGAGCCTTGTCGACTTGATTATGAGGGACTTGCTTATTTAAATTAGCTAAAATACTTTTCAAAATTTCCAGATTCATCTCAACTCACAAATCAACAACCCAACCAACTTCCCGACGAACCAATAAAATCCCCAACAATCATTAGACGTCAACGTCAACAACATTTTGAAAGGCACTTCAGTCCATCCCCAACAGAAATATATTTAAAATGCCCCCCTATACCCCCAAAACAATTTAAAAATAAAATTGAACATGGGAGGGATATTTGGGAGGAAAATTCTGTTCCTCCATTGCCTCCAAAGCCTGAACATCTTAAAAGGAGCAGAGAGGGAAATTTGGTTTTAAATCAAAATTTGCATCGAAGGTAGTTATTTTTTTTGAAGTTGATTGAATGTTAGATGGAGGGGAAGGACTAAGAATAGAGCTGTCCGAGAGATAGAGCTTGGTCTTGAGTCATAGAAAATTCTCTCGGTCTCGGGCAGCTCTATTAAGAGATACTTCCGTATCAGTGTCATTCATTATTGTGTCTAAATTTTTTGGCCCTAAGGGTGTACACAAAAGGGAGATCCGACTATGTCTATGAGACGTCTTTTGCGGACAATATTTTGCGGACACAAGTTGCGGACATAACTAAAGTTCTATCGAAATGGGAACAAACGGCTGACTGGTTCTTGTTCATTACCTTGTCTTAGACATTATTTTATTGTTTATGTGATATATCCCCCTTGCTAGAGCTTTTATTTACAATAAATTATATTTGTCAGCAAAAGTCTTTCCACAATTAAATAAAAATTTAAAAATTTAAAATTTTCTCTTTTAATTTTATGTCCCAAAGCATCGACAATTTACAACAATTTCAACAACAACAAACCCCTTCTTCATTATTAAAACAACAAATAAATTCGAGTAATTCATCAAATAATTTATTTAAATTATACCAAACAAGGGATTGTTTGGGTAGATTAGTTTGTGAATGGTAGAGAGGTGAACAGGTTGAAAATAAACACAAAAATATTTTTTGTAAATTACGTGGATTGTTTTGTACCGAAAATTTAGATTTTTATAAAAATTTATTCTTCTTTCTTTTTTTTTTGAGTAAATTGGTTGATGGTCTTTTTTAGGTAATAAAATATGTAAATATTCTTTTAAAAAATGTTAAAAATTGAAAAGTTAAAAATTTTCGTGCCCGTCTGGTACAAACTTGTCGATACTACAAACACCTTAATAAAAATAGAAAAATGACGAATTTATATATAAAATACCTATAAAGATTAAAGGAAAGTTGAGTATTACAAAACTTATTGTAAAAATATAGATTAATTTCCGCTAGGTGTGATGCAGTCCGCAAATTTTTGTCCGCAAAAAATAAATTAAACTATTTTTTCTCTCAAACATACAAACAAACTATTTGGAGTAAATGTGGAGGGTTGAAAATGGAGGAACTAAAAATATTTTAGAATAATTTAGAGGCAGTTGATTGACTGGTAATCTTTTTTTGAGAGGTTCTGGGGGAGAGAAGAGAGGGAGGGTTGAGAAGCTGAAGATATTTTTAGGAAAATCAATTCTAAATTTTAAATAAAAATTCTTTTTAAATATATGTATTTGCTGATAAAATCTTGCGGATTGAGAAAAAAAACGGAAAAGAACCTAAAATTATACTTAAAATAAAAGATGCGCAAGAATGATTGAGTGATTAATAAGGTGTTGCAACGTTTATTATTAAATAAATTTAGTTAATTAATTAATTTCTGATTTTTAATTAACTTTTTGCAATTAAAAATTCTGATATTTAATTTATATAATTCTTTTAGTTATTTTTAATTAAAATTCTGATTTTTATAATTTTTTTTCTGATTTTTATATTTTCTATAATAATATAAGGAAAATTCTGGTTTTTAAAAAATAATTCTGATTTTATTCTTAAAAAGAATTCTGATATGTTAATTAAAATTCTGATTTTATATTTTCTATAATATAAAAGAATTCTGATTTTTTAATAATACATAATTCTGATTTTATTTTTGGAAAAAATTCTGAAATATTGAGTAAAATTCTGATTTAATATTTTTCTTAAAATTCTGATTTTTTAAATATTTATTCTGATTTTATTCTCTTTTCTTAACGTATTATTTCTGATTTTCCTTTAGTTTTCTAAATTACCCATAATTTCTGATTTTTAAGTGATGTATGTGTATAAAAATATTACTCAATTTCACTCGTAAAATAAACAAAATATATTTTAACAATATAGATTTTTTTAAAAAAAATTATTTATTTGTTTAAAATATTTGCATATATATTAAAGTATTACACAATAAAATATTTGGGTGTTTTTGCAAACAAAAAAATTTTTAATATTTACACAAAATTTTTATTAAAAAGAGACTATTGTTTAAGTTGAAAAGTAAAGATTTGAATAATATTTTTATTTAAAAAATGTCAAATGTACAATTTTGGTACGGAGGATGTACCAGCCTTTCAAACCTTTATAATTCTATTAAATTAACATGTTTAATAAATAAATTGTTAAATATAGTAAAAATGTCAAAAAATTTTTTTGACATTCTGTTGACATCTATTGACATCTCTTAAAATTTTTGACATTTTTGGACATTTTTGGACGTTCTCTGAAATATTTTCTTAATGTTTTGAAATTTTCTGACATTTTTCTTCATTTTAAAATAATATTAAAAATTGTTACCTTATTGTGTTTATTATAAATAATTTACATATTAAACACATATCATCTAAAATAAAAGTTCTTGAAAAGTTTAGCAAAGATTACTCTCTGTTTATTTAAATAAATAACAATAAAAATGATGAAATTTATTATTTTAAAAATTGCTTTGTGTATTTTGTACTATATACTTTTTTACAAGATTTTAGTATATAAATTAAACTGTTAAAAATATTCGAGGACCATAAATTCACTTAAAATTAATAATATTTTTTAAACAATGACGGCTACTGTTTCACCAACAGAGTTGGATTTGGAATTGGAAATAGCCGGTAAACTGGCTGCAAATGATGTTGCTAATCAAAATCAACAAAAGAGACGAGTTTCTAAACAAATTGAAGTAATTTGAAATAGACTCTTTATAGTGAACTCTCCCCTCTATATAATAAACTCCCTTTATAATGGACTTTTTTAAGATTCCAATTAGAGGCCGGACAGAAAGGAGATCACGATTTGGTCGCAGTCCGGTCTCTACCTCCAATTAACATAATCTCCAAAAAATAACTATCAGTAAAACCAATTATAGATCTCACTTCCCTCCCTATCTGATAGAAATGGGAGGAGATGCTATGCATCCACATTGGAGGAGCTGTCAGATCCCTTAACTATTATATAAATTTAATTTATTTCAATTTAAGACAGATGATATAGAGCCATTAACTACAGCGGTTGTTCCTCCCCTTCCACCCCCTCCACTAGGAAAACGTTTGTCCACAGCCTCAGCCGGAGCTTTCTCTCTTTTTTCAAATACTGGAGGAGATGGATCAACATCTTATTTACGTCTAGTTAATTGGTTGTGCTCAATGTCTGGAATATTGTTTGGATATTCTTCTTCCTCAATTAATGATTCGGTAAATTATACAGGGGATTTAACTATAAAATACCCTCTAGATTAAAGCCTTCTATATTAAATACCCTCCAGTTAAGAGACGTTTTTAAATTTTGGGTAGCCACGGAAGGAACTGTCCTTATACATAAAGGTTAATTTTATTTAAAATCTCATAGCATTTGATTTTCCCGGCTCCGTCGGAGGGTCTCTTATACTGAGATCCGATAGTAAATCAATTTAAAAAAATTATTTTTAAAGATTCCTTTTATGCGTCGTGAGTTAGGATTAACTCCTGCTGGAGTAGGATTGATCACCTCATGTTTTCTAGTGGGTGCTGCATTTGGAAGTATTTTTGGGGGAAGATTAGCAGATCGTTTCGGGCGTAAACGAACGCTTGTATTAAATGAAATTTTGTTTATTCTGGGAACGCTTGGTACTTCTTTGGCACCCAATTTTGAGGTAGTCTAATGAAAATTAAAGAGATAAATGTATGTTTAAAATAAAGACAGTATTAGCTACCCGCCTTTTTCATGGATTTTCTTCGGGTGGAATAACTTCTGTTGCCCCAGTTTTGCTAGCAGAAACATCGACACCAGAACAACGTTCACAAAGTGTAACAATGGCACTATTGGTAAGCTATTCTGATTTATAATTTTTATTTCCGGAAATTATAACTGAATTATTCTGGTTTATACGATAATTTCCGGAAAGTTTTTAAGTTCCGGAAAATTATTTAATTTAAATTCCCTTCCGGAAATTTCTAGAATTCTGATTTTCAAGGATAAATTATTTATAGATTCTTGTGTTCGGAGAATTTTGTGTTTTTGTTGTTGGTGCAGTTCTTGGTAACGTCTGGTATGAAAAGTAAGTTTATTATTTTATTAAAAATTCTTCTCAAAAATAATTTTTAAAAATTTTAATTTTCTAGCGACGCGATTTGGCGTTGGATTAATGTATTAATTGTTGTCCCAGCAGTGATTTTGCTTATTTTACATATTCTTATTGTTCCAGAAAGTCCTCGTTGGCTTGCCCAAAATGGAAAAGCAAATCTTGCATGGAAAACGCTTAGAAGGATGCGACGATCTTCAGCTCAAACACGACACGAATTACGGTAGGTTTATAAAAATACAATTGATAGTTATATTCTTTCCGGAAAGCCCAGAATTCTGATCTATTTTTAAATTCCGGAAACTATATATTCTGGTTTATTATTTTCTTTCCGGAAATTCTGACTATTTCTAAATTCCGGAAGGTTTAAATTCTGGTCTATTATTTTTTTTTCCGGAAAGTTATAAATTCTGATTTATTAGGTATATTCTTTCCGGAAAATTATATTAAATTATTAGGTATATGTATAATATATTTTATTTAAGTGAAATTGAGGCTGCTATAAATAATATTAATAATAATATTACTACAATTACAAATCCACAATTGGGAGAGAATGAGGATAGTCAAAAACTAGAAAATAAGCCAACAACAAAGAAGGCTGGAATAAGCGATATTTTGACAGTTTCTTGGTTGAGAACAGTACTTTTAGTTGGTATTGCTGTAGCTATTACACAGCAAGCATATGGAGTTGCTATTGGAATGCTTTATGGGACTGAAGTGCTCCGAGAAGCAGGGCTGGATACGAAAATGGCTTTAATTGCTAATATTGGAATTGGGGTAGAAAAAATGAGAGAATTTAAATAAAAAATTTTTTTTTAAAGTTGGTTTCATTTCTGGCTTCTTGGGCTGGTCTTTTAGTAGTTTCTAGAGTTGGGCGACGTTCACTTCTCATTTTCGGCCAAATAGGCACTTTATCAGCACATTTAGCTATTGTTGTATGCTCAGCAATTTTGCCTTATGGAACAGCTCGTGGTTGGGCTACTTTTGGCCTTTTACTCCCTTTCTTAGCATTCTCACAGGGGGCTATATCTACAGTCACTTGGTTTTTACAATCTTCGAAATTTTTTAAAATTATTTTAAGGTTAATGTCAGCAGAAATATTTCCTTTAAGTATGCGCGGTATTGGTACAGGTATTTGTATGTTATCTGCATGGACAACTGCTTGTACTATTAGTCAATTATTTCCTGTAAGTATAACCTTCCGGAAGAAATATAATAAACCAGAATTCATAACTTTCCGAAAAATATAATAAAAAATAATTCCGGAAGGAAAATAATAATCAGTATAACTTTCCGGAAATAATATAGGTAACAATCAGAATTTATAACTTTCCGAAAGAATATAATAAATAATGATTCCGGAAGAAATATAATAATCAGTATAACTTTCCGGAAAGAATATAATAATCAGAATTTATATTTTCCGGAAAAAATATAATAAATAATTCCGGAAGAAATATAATAAATCAGAATTTATAACCTTCCGGAAAGAATATAATAAATCAGAATTATAACTTTCCGGAAGGAATATAACAATCAGAATTTATAACTTTCCGGAAAAAATATAATAATCAGAATAATAACCTAAATAAAAACAGATCTGTGTCAACAATTTTGGCCAAGCTTTTACCTTTTCTGGTTTCTTCATTTTTGGTTCAATTCTATTAATATTTACTTGGCTTTATCTGCCCGAAACAAGAAATAAAACCCTCGAACAATTAGAATGTCAATTCCAAAACGGTGATTGGTTGGCTTTAAAAAAGCCGGGGATTAGCAATGCGGAAAGACGATTAAATCGTAAAGCAGCTGAAGCTAGAGAGGAAGACGAGGAAGAAAAGAAAAATAGGTCTTTAAGTATTGTTAAAGAAGAAATTCCGGAAGGAAAATATTAATTTTTATTTTTAATTAAATAAATTATTAGGGTTGCCTTTCTCTCTCTCCCTTTGTGTTATTCTCAATTTTCGAGTAGTCTCAATTTCCGGCTGTTTTTTGTTCGTTAAAAAATTATTTAATAATTATTTAATTTTTTTAAATAAAAGAGGGGATTGTTGGCAACCCTAATTAAAAAATTTAAAAAAATTTTTTTTAATTTGACCATGTATGTTTATTTCAATTACATACTACTCTTAATTATTTTTAATATTTACCACTTGCTTTCAGTTCGAACGCAAATTATTTTTTAATTTTATTTATACTTTATTTATTTTTAAATAAATGATAAAGACTTTAAATCTTTAATTTTTTAATTCTTTTTTTAATTATTAATCTATTAATTGTTTTATTAAAAGATTAATAATTTGTCTAAAAATTAATTTTTTCTTACGTGTACTTTATTTAATTATTAAATATATTTTCAACTCAATTTTATCAGTTTGATAACTAATCAGCTGTCTTAATTCATTAGTAAATAAATTTAAAGAAAGAACAATTTTATAAAAAAGAGTAAATGCACTTTTGGTTGTTTATTAAACTAAATTTTACTTTAAAAATATTATTCTTAATATTTCTGAGTTGGAACAATGATAATTTAAATAGTGTAGACCAAGCTTGGTAATGGATACGTATACAGATAAGTTCAAATGCCCGCGGATATCTGTCTGTATCCGCCGTAAATATCCGTGTACGGATATGTTCATTACCAAGCCTGTGTAGACTTTCCCTCCCTTTATTCCTCCAATGTATGTAATTGGGGGAATTCCTTGAATATTTAACCTCCTGGAAATAAATTTTCCGGATATAGGGATCACTAAAGGAATCTTTGTTGTTGTCTTCAAAATAGTTGTTGTCTTCAATGTGTTTCTCTATGGAAGAGGAAACATCAAAATATTTCCGGAATATTGCCTATAAATTATTTTAAAAATTATTTTTTTAGCTCTAGAATGATTATTGGATTAATATTACTCCATTTATTTACTTTAATTTTTTGGAATTTTGTATGGAAACGAAGAAAAATGCCACCGGGCCCAGCACCTCTCCCTTTCCTAGGAAATTTAAATGAATTTTCTGCCTTAGCAGCCGTAGATGGAATTGGATACAAAGCTATGGAGCATTATAAAAATATTTACGGGCCTGTATATACTTTGTGGATGGGGGAAGTAAATAAATAAATTAATTATTTTTAATTGCTCTGTGCTTTAATTGGAAAATTATTTCGATGCAATTTAATTAAGAGACTTTAATTAGAATAAATAATTTAAAAATAAATCTAAAATTATTAAAGAAAAAATATTTTAATTATTTAAGGACCCATACGTAATTATTTCTGATTATGAATTAATTAGACAAGTCTTCCTACGCCAAGCAGAACCTGCTGGGGGTCGTTATTTCTTTAAAGTTGCAAAGATTTTGAGCGGTAAGTTTAATTATTATTTTCTTTCGGAAGGTTATACATATTTAATTTATTGCAGTAATATAACTTTCCGGAAATTAAACTAATTTCTGATTTATTTTAAATTCCGGAAAAATGTAAATTCTGGTTTAAATATTTTATTCCGGAAGTTATAATTAAATTCTAATTTATTATTTTCTTTCCGGAGAGTCTATTAGTTCCGTTAAAAATTCTGATTTATAATTTCCGGAAAGATAAATTCTGGTTTATTATTCTCTTCCAAGAAAATATTAAATTTTAATGCTCTATTTATTCAGCAACTCGAGGGGAAAATCATGGTATGACCAGAACTAACGGAGATGAATGGCGTTTTCTTCGTCGTAGCTCTTTAAATATTCTTAGAGACTTGGGAATGGGGAGAAGTAAATTAGATGAATTAATGAAACCAGAATTTCGTAAATTATCTGCCAAAATTAGAACAGAAAAATCAAATGGAGTAAAAGCCCATGATTTGTCTAAATTAATAATTGAATTGAATGGGTCTGCTATTGAATTACTTTTATTTGGTCATCCCATTGAAGAAGTAATTTTAAAAAATTAAAATATTTTTTGAAAAAATTTAAAGGAAAAAATGGAAAATTTTACAAAATTATATGATGATTTAAAGACTTTTATAACTTTAGTTCCTTGGTTAGTTAATTAAATAATATGTGATGATGATTTAATTGCTTCCGGAAAGCAATTGAACCAGAAAATAATTATAAAACTGAATTTATAACTTTCCGGAATTTAAAAATAAATCAGAATTAGTTTAATTTCCGGAAGGTTTTAAATAAATTCTGATTTAATATAACTTTCCGGAAGGTTATATTATTCTGGTTTATTTTATTAAGTGAATTTTGAGTTATTCTCTTTCCGGAAAGTATAATTAAATTATGATTTACTTATAAATTTCCTTAACATATTATTATTATTATTATTACTTTGTATTATTCAAGGAAAACAACACAAATGTGGGCCTCCATGTGGTAATAATTAATTAATTAATTAAGTTAATTTAAAAATTATAATTAAAAGGTGGCTTCGCCATTTTCCTCCATTTTCTTTCGGGTTTCAATTAGTTGATAGAATAGTAACGGATTTATTTAAAAATGTTGATGAGGAGATTTTATTAAAATTAAATGAAAGGGAACAAAAAATAAATAAAAATAATAATTATTATTGTTTTGTGGATGCTTTTTTGGATGATATTGAAAAATTTGAAAATGAAGATAAAAATATAGAGATACCTTTAAAACAACATAAATATTTTAAGTAAATTAATTGATAAATTTTAAAATTTTTTAAAAATATTTTTTTAGTGATGAAGCACTTAGAAATTTGTGTTTTGATCTTTATATTGCTTCTAATGTAGGGTTTTATTTTAATTATTAAATGAAATGCCTGGAGTTCTGATTTACCGTATTTCCTATATTAGAGCCCCATGGGGCTCTATTTTTCAACTATTCTCCAAGGTGGGGCTGTATTAAAGGGTGGGGCTCTAATTGAGGGTGGGGCTCTATTTTTCAACCCTCTTTTGAGATAAAATCCCATTTATTAAATATCCATTGCAACTAGAGATAGGCTGGAGGGGTGGTCGATAAAACCGAAAAATATCGAAAGGAATCGAAATTTTCGATTTTTCACAAAAATTAAAACTTTTTAAGCAATGAATAACAAAATAGTCGCAATAGTTCAATTAGAGTAAGATTACTAAGTATGAAATTTTGGTAGATTTGGACGGATTAAAAGAAATATTAGGGGACTAGTATTTGACATCGATGGATCAGAGGTATAAAAGTTGATTTTAAGGGATTATGGGGAATATAATAGGATTAAGTTTATATTGAGAGATTTAGCGGGATTAATTTGTAAGAGGGGTATTCTGAATTAGGGGTATTAGGAGGCATATGAAGCGATTTTGTTTGATGAGGCCTTGGAACAGGTTCCAGAACTGGAACTGAAGTAATTCAAAAAGCAGTTCCAAAACGGGAACCGGTTCCAGAGAAATTTTGGAACTTCTCCATCACTGATTATAAGCGAATAGATCTCTAATAATCTCGCGAATTATCGTCAATTTCCTAACACGATTGCAACACTTCATACAATGATTAGATTTTGGAGGTAATAGGAGGAATTTAGAGGAATATAGGCGATATTAGAGTATTTTGACGGATAACGGGATTAATCCCTCATTTTCATCCCTAATCCCCATGATCCCTCCTCCTCCATGATCACAATATCATCAATATCCCCCTTTACTTCCTTAACTCTCGAAATACATCTAAAAAGTTATTCGGATATTTTTTTCCTCCAATATTTTTAAGTGGGGCTGTATTTGGGGTGGGGCTCTAATTGAGGGTGGGGCTCTATTTTTCAACTATCCTCCAAAGTGGGGCTGTATTAGAGGGTGGGGCTCTAACAGAGGGTGGGGCTCTAATATAGGAAATACGGTATATTAATTATGATTAACTATTTTCTTTCCGGAAATTATCTTTATTAGAGATAAAAATCAGAACTTATAACATTCCGGAAAAAGAATAATAAATTAGAATTTATAACTTTCCGGAAAAATATAATAAACCAGAATTTATAACCAGAGGTGGGTCGGAACAGTCAGAGGTGTCGGAAATCGGAAGAGCCGGAAATCGGAATTGGCTCAAAAGTCGGAACTCGGAAATCGGAAATCAAAATTTTTTTTCGGAAATCGGAAATCGGAAGGAAAAAAACACCGGAAGTCGGAAATAAAATTTTTTCGGAAATAAAAAAATTTTATTTTCAAATATATATAATTGTATAGTGGCAAATTATGTTGCATAAAAGGAAGTTCAATCCGAAATCAAGAATCGGAGATATTATTGAGGGGGTTAAAAAGGACATCGAAGAATTTGAGCAAATATTAGGGACATCAATATCGAGTGATTAAGGTACATAGAGGGATTAAGATTGATATCGGAGGGATTGGATTTGAGGGATTGGGATTATTGAATTTGAGTGGTTATAGAGGGAAGAAAATTTGAAGGGATTTAAAGAGATATTGTGGGATCTGAGGGGGTTATCAGAAAATCTGGCATTAAAAGCGATATTAGTGTATTAGGAGAGTTTTGGGGACCCACCCCTGTTTATAACCTTCCGGAAAGAGAATAATAGACCAGAATTTATAACTTTCCGGAATGAAAATAATAAATCAGAATTTATAACTTTCCGGAATGAAAATAATAAATCAGAATTTATAACTTTCCGGAATGAAAATAATAAATCAGAATTTATAACTTTCCGGAATGAAAATAATAAATCAGAATTTATAACTTTCCGGAATGAAAATAATAAATCAGAATTTATAACTTTCCGGAATGAAAATAATAAATCAGAATTTATAACTTTCCGGAATGAAAATAATAAATCAGAATTTATAACTTTCCGGAATGAAAATAATAAATCAGAATTTATAACTTTCCGGAATGAAAATAATAAATCAGAATTTATAACTTTCCGGAATGAAAATAATAAATCAGAATTTATAACTTTCCGGAATGAAAATAATAAATCAGAATTTATAACTATCTTCAGTTTAATTTCTGTAAAGTTATAGTATGTAAATTCTGATTTTAGAATAGTAATTAAGATTTTATTCGATTAAAAATTAATTAAATTTAAAGTCAACAACAGCAAATACAACAGAATTTATGTGTTTATATTTAACGTTAAATCAAAATATTCAAAATAAATTACATGAAGAATTAAAAGTATTTTTTTTTCAATTTTAAAAAATATTTTATAAATTTTAATTAAAAAAGAATTATGCAAAAACTAATGGATTAATAACTAAAGCAATTGAACAATTAAATAATAATGAAAGCGGGGATTTGTGTTTAGACTATATTTGCTCGGCTATTAGTTTGGAACACAGACCTAAACTAATTTATACAAATGCTGTTGTTAATGTAAAGATATTTATTTTTTGTTAATTTATTTTAAAATATCTAGAGGGTTCCTGATTCGAATCCGGTTCCAGATATCCTAAGATTTCCAAGACTGACAGCTCTATAATAAATAAATGATCTAGACGATATAACTTTAATAAAACCCTTTCAAAACGTAAAAGTCAATTCCTTCATAATCACCGAAGATATCGTTAAAAATCTCGTTATGGTGATATCTTGAGACATTAATACCTTCGACTTTACTCATATCCATTATTGGTGATACCCAATTTAAAGTACATTTTTTAAAATTTAGCGGCATAGGGAGCTGTTTAGGCGACCATCAATAATGCATACAACTAGAAATAATAAACTAAAGTTTTCACTGTCAAAATAATTTAAAAATAATTTCAGGAAACATTAAGACTCGTTAATTTAGTCCCTTTCAATCTGGGGCATTTAGCCTTGGAAGATTTAAATGTTGGAAAGTTTGTGTTGCCTAAAGGTACGTTTATGATACCCCAAGTATCGGATGTTCTTTTTGATCCAAAGGTTTAAAAAAATATTTTAATTGTAAATATTTATTTAGATATACCCAAATCCTCAAAATTTTGAACCTGAACGTTATATAGACAATGAAGGGAAATTAAAAAAAGCTGATGAGCTAATAGCTTTTGGTGTGGGGAAAAGGTAAGAAAATAATGTTAATTTTGTGTTCTGAAAAAAAATTTTCGTGAAAAAATTGTTTTTTTTGGAAGAAAATTTTTCGACTAAAATTTTTTAAATTAATATGTATTTAAGGCAATGTGCTGGAGAAGCTTTAGCAAGAATGATGCTTTTCCTTTTTGCTGCAAACTTTTTTCTTGCCTACAAATTATTACCAGAAGATCCATTAAAACCTCCAAGCATAGAGAAACTTGGAGGATTAACAGTTTATGTAAAAGAAAAATATAAACTTAGAATAGAACCTTATTTAGATTTGTTTTAATTAAAAAACTTTAATTAATGAATAAATATTTTTCAAAGTATCGTTTAAGATTTCCTTACATTAAAGTTATAAATATTCACAAATTCATTTTGGAATTATAAATTCAGCGTTCTGTAGCAATCTGACTGATTAGGATTTTAATTCAAGGATTATATATTTGGGGTAAAGGAAGTATATTAATTCGGTTCATTATTTTTAGTGACAGCTCTTAATGTACTTTCATATGAGCTATCGAATGTCTATATCCTATAAGATTTTTGAAAAAAATTTTGTTTTACCCCAATATTTTAAAAATAAATATTATTTATTTAGGGGTTTTATTCGAGGGATTATATCTTTGGGGTAAAGGAAGTATATTAATTCGGTTCATTATTTTTAATGACAGCTCTTAATGTACTTTCATATGAGCTATCGAATGTCTATATCCTATAAGATTTTTGAAAAAAATTTTGTTTTACCCCAATATTTTAAAAATAAATATTATTTATTTAGGGGTTTTATTCGAGGGATTATATCTTTGGGGTAAAGGAAGTATATTAATTCGGTTCATTATTTTTAATGACAGCTCTTAATGTACTTTCATATGAGCTATCGAATGTCTATATCCTATAAGATTTTTGAAAAAAATTTTGTTTTACCCCAATATTTTAAAAATAAATATTATTTATTTAGGGGTTTTATTCGAGGGATTATATCTTTGGGGTAAAGGAAGTATATTAATTCGGTTCATTATTTTTAATGACAGCTCTTAATGTACTTTCATATGAGCTATCGAATGTCTATATCCTATAAGATTTTTGAAAAAAATTTTGTTTTACCCCAATATTTTAAAAATAAATATTATTTATTTAGGGGTTTTATTCGAGGGATTATATCTTTGGGGTAAAGGAAGTATATTAATTCGGTTCATTATTTTTAATGACAGCTCTTAATGTACTTTCATATGAGCTATCGAATGTCTATATCCTATAAGATTTTTGAAAAAAATTTTGTTTTACCCCAATATTTTAAAAATAAATATTATTTATTTAGGGGTTTTATTCGAGGGATTATATCTTTGGGGTAAAGAAAGTATATTAATTCGGTTCATTATTTTTAATGACAGCTCTTAATGTACTTTCATATGAGCTATCGAATGTCTATATCCTATAAGATTTTTGAAAAAAATTTTGTTTTACCCCAATATTTTAAAAATAAATATTATTTATTTAGGGGTTTTATTCGAGGGATTATATCTTTGGGGTAAAGAAAGTATATTAATTCGGTTCATTATTTTTAATGACAGCTCTTAATGTACTTTCATATGAGCTATCGAATGTCTATATCCTATAAGATTTTTGAAAAAAATTTTGTTTTACCCCAATATTTTAAAAATAAATATTATTTATTTAGGGGTTTTATTCGAGGGATTATATCTTTGGGGTAAAGGAAGTATATTAATTCGGTTCATTATTTTTAATGACAGCTCTTAATGTACTTTCATATGAGCTATCGAATGTCTATATCCTATAAGATTTTTGAAAAAAATTTTGTTTTACCCCAATATTTTAAAAATAAATATTATTTATTTAGGGGTTTTATTCGAGGGATTATATCTTTGGGGTAAAGGAAGTATATTAATTCGGTTCATTATTTTTAATGACAGCTCTTAATGTACTTTCATATGAGCTATCGAATGTCTATATCCTATAAGATTTTTGAAAAAAATTTTGTTTTACCCCAATATTTTAAAAATAAATATTATTTATTTAGGGGTTTTATTCGAGGGATTATATCTTTGGGGTAAAGGAAGTATATTAATTCGGTTCATTATTTTTAATGACAGCTCTTAATGTACTTTCATATGAGCTATCGAATGTCTATATCCTATAAGATTTTTGAAAAAAATTTTGTTTTACCCCAATATTTTAAAAATAAATATTATTTATTTAGGGGTTTTATTCGAGGGATTATATCTTTGGGGTAAAGGAAGTATATTAATTCGGTTCATTATTTTTAATGACAGCTCTTAATGTACTTTCATATGAGCTATCGAATGTCTATATCCTATAAGATTTTTGAAAAAAATTTTGTTTTACCCCAATATTTTAAAAATAAATATTATTTATTTAGGGGTTTTATTCGAGGGATTATATCTTTGGGGTAAAGGAAGTATATTAATTCGGTTCATTATTTTTAATGACAGCTCTTAATGTACTTTCATATGAGCTATCGAATGTCTATATCCTATAAGATTTTTGAAAAAAATTTTGTTTTACCCCAATATTTTAAAAATAAATATTATTTATTTAGGGGTTTTATTCGAGGGATTATATCTTTGGGGTAAAGGAAGTATATTAATTCGGTTCATTATTTTTAATGACAGCTCTTAATGTACTTTCATATGAGCTATCGAATGTCTATATCCTATAAGATTTTTGAAAAAAATTTTGTTTTACCCCAATATTTTAAAAATAAATATTATTTATTTAGGGGTTTTATTCGAGGGATTATATCTTTGGGGTAAAGGAAGTATATTAATTCGGTTCATTATTTTTAATGACAGCTCTTAATGTACTTTCATATGAGCTATCGAATGTCTATATCCTATAAGATTTTTGAAAAAAATTTTGTTTTACCCCAATATTTTAAAAATAAATATTATTTATTTAGGGGTTTTATTCGAGGGATTATATCTTTGGGGTAAAGAAAGTATATTAATTCGGTTCATTATTTTTAATGACAGCTCTTAATGTACTTTCATATGAGCTATCGAATGTCTATATCCTATAAGATTTTTGAAAAAAATTTTGTTTTACCCCAATATTTTAAAAATAAATATTATTTATTTAGGGGTTTTATTCGAGGGATTATATCTTTGGGGTAAAGAAAGTATATTAATTCGGTTCATTATTTTTAATGACAGCTCTTAATGTACTTTCATATGAGCTATCGAATGTCTATATCCTATAAGATTTTTGAAAAAAATTTTGTTTTACCCCAATATTTTAAAAATAAATATTATTTATTTAGGGGTTTTATTCGAGGGATTATATCTTTGGGGTAAAGAAAGTATATTAATTCGGTTCATTATTTTTAATGACAGCTCTTAATGTACTTTCATATGAGCTATCGAATGTCTATATCCTATAAGATTTTTGAAAAAAATTTTGTTTTACCCCAATATTTTAAAAATAAATATTATTTATTTAGGGGTTTTATTCGAGGGATTATATCTTTGGGGTAAAGGAAGTATATTAATTCGGTTCATTATTTTTAATGACAGCTCTTAATGTACTTTCATATGAGCTATCGAATGTCTATATCCTATAAGATTTTTGAAAAAAATTTTGTTTTACCCCAATATTTTAAAAATAAATATTATTTATTTAGGGGTTTTATTCGAGGGATTATATCTTTGGGGTAAAGGAAGTATATTAATTCGGTTCATTATTTTTAATGACAGCTCTTAATGTACTTTCATATGAGCTATCGAATGTCTATATCCTATAAGATTTTTGAAAAAAATTTTGTTTTACCCCAATATTTTAAAAATAAATATTATTTATTTAGGGGTTTTATTCGAGGGATTATATCTTTGGGGTAAAGGAAGTATATTAATTCGGTTCATTATTTTTAATGACAGCTCTTAATGTACTTTCATATGAGCTATCGAATGTCTATATCCTATAAGATTTTTGAAAAAAATTTTGTTTTACCCCAATATTTTAAAAATAAATATTATTTATTTAGGGGTTTTATTCGAGGGATTATATCTTTGGGGTAAAGGAAGTATATTAATTCGGTTCATTATTTTTAATGACAGCTCTTAATGTACTTTCATATGAGCTATCGAATGTCTATATCCTATAAGATTTTTGAAAAAAATTTTGTTTTACCCCAATATTTTAAAAATAAATATTATTTATTTAGGGGTTTTATTCGAGGGATTATATCTTTGGGGTAAAGAAAGTATATTAATTCGGTTCATTATTTTTAATGACAGCTCTTAATGTACTTTCATATGAGCTATCGAATGTCTATATCCTATAAGATTTTTGAAAAAAATTTTGTTTTACCCCAATATTTTAAAAATAAATATTATTTATTTAGGGGTTTTATTCGAGGGATTATATCTTTGGGGTAAAGGAAGTATATTAATTCGGTTCATTATTTTTAATGACAGCTCTTAATGTACTTTCATATGAGCTATCGAATGTCTATATCCTATAAGATTTTTGAAAAAAATTTTGTTTTACCCCAATATTTTAAAAATAAATATTATTTATTTAGGGGTTTTATTCGAGGGATTATATCTTTGGGGTAAAGAAAGTATATTAATTCGGTTCATTATTTTTAATGACAGCTCTTAATGTACTTTCATATGAGCTATCGAATGTCTATATCCTATAAGATTTTTGAAAAAAATTTTGTTTTACCCCAATATTTTAAAAATAAATATTATTTATTTAGGGGTTTTATTCGAGGGATTATATCTTTGGGGTAAAGGAAGTATATTAATTCGGTTCATTATTTTTAATGACAGCTCTTAATGTACTTTCATATGAGCTATCGAATGTCTATATCCTATAAGATTTTTGAAAAAAATTTTGTTTTACCCCAATATTTTAAAAATAAATATTATTTATTTAGGGGTTTTATTCGAGGGATTATATCTTTGGGGTAAAGAAAGTATATTAATTCGGTTCATTATTTTTAATGACAGCTCTTAATGTACTTTCATATGAGCTATCGAATGTCTATATCCTATAAGATTTTTGAAAAAAATTTTGTTTTACCCCAATATTTTAAAAATAAATATTATTTATTTAGGGGTTTTATTCGAGGGATTATATCTTTGGGGTAAAGAAAGTATATTAATTCGGTTCATTATTTTTAATGACAGCTCTTAATGTACTTTCATATGAGCTATCGAATGTCTATATCCTATAAGATTTTTGAAAAAAATTTTGTTTTACCCCAATATTTTAAAAATAAATATTATTTATTTAGGGGTTTTA